GTGTGACGAAAACGACATCGACACGGACTCATTCCCAAGGCCATGACTTGGCAAAGCTATCCGTGTGACTTCGACGACATTTTGAGAAAAGCAGACGCTTGTGAACGCTGATAGAAGACGGCGTTGACTGCTAAATTCAAATATATTGGCGATCTTGAAATACTAAAATAAATCTCAAAAAGCTACAGCGCGATGACTTCCATATTCACTCATACCATTGCAGTGTTGTGGGTGTGTTCACATGGCGTGAGCCAGTCAAGTGTCAGTCAGTTCGGCAGGAAGCGCGACCTCCAACAACAAGTCGTTTGGTGCAGCCATCTTCTTTGTCTTGTATCAGCTTGATCACCAAAACAATAAAAAAGAAGTTTGACTTGAGGATAGGTTGGGATTTGAACTCACAACTTCATGGTCAGCAGACAGCATTCATAACCACAAGGCCAAAAAGGAAAGGATAAATCGTGGGTTTTGATAAAAAAATCGATACTGGCTTCCTGGGCAAATTGTAAACCATGGGAAAAGGCCGGAAACCTGGCCGAAATTCTAACTCCTTAACGGCTGGTCCAATTGTTCCGAAATCTTCACAGAACAATTTGCCGTGTCCTAACAAGCCATTCTATGTACTTTGTTGTCCAAATTTCCCTTATCTTCATACTTTTTAAGACCCAAACCTGATTGTAAATCTTTTTGAAACAGACTATAGGTGACGAGCTTTCCCTTCACGTACAGTATGCACTCTACGTGTGTAGTCCCTTTTTGGTGTTATCTAATTTTAATTTAGGTACCTGGTTTCTCTACCGAAATCACTGAAATCAAAGTTACATCCTGACCGACAATAACGTGTTTATAGTAAATCGGCCCCCTCTCAAGGGTGACTGTGAACAGCCACCCAGGGTCGAAACCCAAGAGATATAGGGTTAGAGTTGCCTGTGCCGTCTCCCCACAGCCTACGACTCTCTTGATCACATGACACAGGATGTGCCCCAAGAGTACATGAAACCCAGAGTGTGCAGAGTGTGACTATTTTTCTGCATGGATGTCTATCACGGTGAAGTTCTGCGATTACGTCATAGTTGGTGCAGATAAGCGGCAGCAAGTGGCGTTGTGCGAAAAACCCATTAATTATCTCTCGCATGTCCCCATCAAAACATGTGCGGCTCGGAGTAACAGAAATTTCAAAGTTCCGGGAAGTTCCCGGTCCCGGACCGCCCGGAAAAACAAGGTATGAGTGTACAGTTGCTTTCATGGATCTGATCATCAACTCACCACCCTAGAAAAATGCAAGGAGTGTGGATTGATGTTGATTCTACTCTATGCAGACTTCAGTTTTCCATTATATCAATATAACATATTTGCCAGAGTATAGAGTGCACTTTGGAGGAATTACTCCTGGCCCCAAATCGCTGGTGCGCACAATGCTCCGAATATGAAATTAAAAAAATGAACATGATTGTACTTCGAAAAGTAGTGCAATGCATCAAACTGCTACGAAGTGTGCCGCCTCTGACTCTGCATAAGCCACCCGAATGCACTTGTTTATGACAATGGTAGCACTATCGTTCTGTCTTTATGATTAATAATGCTTTCAAATCTAAGCTGCACATTACACTCCGGATATACCTTGAATTGCCAGAACATTACTTAAAATGGGGGTGTGCGTTATACTCCGGCAAATACGGTAAGTAAACACACACTGCGACTCCTGTCACTTATATATAATTTTATATCTCTTACCAGAGAGTTGGGCTGCGGAGGCGTAGCTGAATCTCCTGTTGCATTCTTGGCGATCGACAAGCCTCCAGTCGTAGGCAGGGCAATGGGCTTGGCAGCTAAGCCCTCTGTTGGCAGTGCTGACCGCTGGACTTGCTGCACAGCTATGGCTGGGCTCCTGGCCAAGCTAGCTGCCCTGGCACCAGTGATGGCTATTTGGCGCGGTTTGGGCTTTGGGGCTTGATCCGAGGGCAGTCTGACTGCTTCGTACCTATCCGATTCAAAACCAGATGCTAGTGTAGAGACACTAGCAGACCTGAAAAGAGCAGCTTGTCTAGGTTTCGGAGAGGGCTTGGGATCAGCTAGGGCAGATGTCGCTGCCTGAGTGCCCATTGATTGGTTACCGCCAGCGGCTAGTCGTGTGTGGTCACAGAGCGGTGGTCGTGAAGGAGACACAGGATCAGAAGTCAGTACCGGCTGCACTCTGTGAACCGTAGTGGGATCCTTAGTTTCCACTGTTCTTGCTGTGTTGTGGGGAGTGGCGGGCTTTGGGCGAGTAGGAGGCTGGGGGGCTAGACTAGGTTTTGAAGGTTGAGTTCCAGCCAGTTTCTGTTCCTGGCCGGCTGAATTGAAGGCCGCTATCATTGCAGAGATGCCGGTGGGCTTGGGGGGAGATGCGTGAGTAGCCCGGTGTTTAACAGCAGGCTTTGGTTTGGGTGCTATGGCTGGCGGAGACCGAGTTGCTTGGCTGGGTGAAGGTGGTGGGTTCCCGGTGAACCGGGCTGGTTGACGTCGAGTTACTCTATTTGCTGCATCTTCATTGCCTGTGTTCGAGAGGACACAGAGAACAGTACATAGCCGAATCATTTCACAGCCTCGCAAAATGCCTCCTTGCATGCATACACCATGTACCAGGGGCGTCACCGGACCCCTTCACAGGGGGGTGCACAGGAATTTTGCACAGGAAAACACGAAAAAGTTCGCTGATAGCAGGCCCGTCGCACCGACTTTGGAGGTGGGGCGGCCATGGGGTACGTGGGCTTTCCTCGGGGAAAAAATACAAAAATTGAAGCCAATGGCAAGCATTTCCAGGCATTTGGTGCCATTTCAGTGTAACTACAATGAAAGACTTTTTGATTCTGCAACAAGCCAAGAAGACGCTACGATCGGGGACAAGAATTCTTCATTATCCTCCCCCGGGAAAAAATTTCAAAAATTGAAGGCAATTGCAAGCACATTTTCAGGCATTTGCCATGATTCGGTGCCATTTCAGTGTAACAAGTGTAACTAGTCTACGAGTCGTACTGCCTTACTGGTCATGTACTTGCACTCGCTACATGCACTCACGCCGCGTCACGCAATCGCGGCAGCGCAGTACAACTAGTTTTAGTGCATGCAGTTTATTAGTAGATTCTACCAGCATGCACTACACTTTTCATAACCAGGAGTTCGCAAAAAAACAAGGTCGAATTTTTTAGGGGGGTGCACGTGCCCCCCGTGCCCATCACGGGTGACGCCCCTGATGTACCATGGACAATGTATACGCCCGTCGCAAGAGAAGCACAGAAATCTGCAAATGCACTGCATGTGCACCCACAGATTTTCTCTTATAGCAACGATAGCAAACAAGATCTGAATGAGACAGATCAAGACTTGCGCCAGATAACTGTCTAATCCACACAACTGGCGAAGCCACGTGAATCGCCCACCAATGCACACCTGGTCTACACCACACGGAGTACATCGGCATAAAACGGCCAAGACAGTTACCTATGCACACACTACACTTGCTGGGGTAACCAGTATAGACAGCACGCTGCTTTGATAAAAGCAGACACTAGATGCACTGGTACCTAATGTCCTTGAAGTGAAATTGGAGTTACTTTACCAACCAGCCTCGGCTAAGGAGTACTGGGAACCCAGAGCCAACAGACATACCAACAACCTCAGCCATGAAAGCTATATAGTAACGACACACTGGATTGTGGAGCCGAAACTAGTGCTTTGGCAAGAAGGTAGCCTTCAAACAGGTTCATGCACACACACACACACACACACACACACACACACACACACACACACACACACACACACACACACACACTACTACTACTACTATGATACAGCTACCCTAAACGGGTCACGCCGCCCTCCACCCAAGCATGAGCACTATGAGGGGCAGTGGCAAATAAATAGAATCAGCTAGCAGAACTGGCAAAACAGATGAAACAATGGAGCAGAACGGACGACTGCTGTACTGTAACAACAACCTGACAGCTACAGTGCCAACGACTGAAAATGAACAGGAAGGAAAAAAAATTCAAAATTTCACGTCACGAAAAAACACTGTCCACGAAAGAATCCACCAAGCAAAAGGAGTGTGGGCATCCGAAATCCCACCAGGACTCCACTAGCAGTTCTTCCACGTTGACGATGTAAGCGGCAAGGCAAGGCCTCACAAATCCGACAGACTTCCACAACGCTTGACCAGTGCACTCATGACGACGAAAGATTGAAGTTTCAATTCCCACCATTCCGCCATCGGGACCTTCCTCTCCGCACTCGCTCGTCCACTCCACTGAAAACAACGAGTTGTTCCAGCACTCCACCAGCCAATCCGCAATTCCCACCACTGCATTCTTCGAGCTTGGATTCTTCATAGCACTCGAGGGACAGCTACTCCACTGCGAGTGGTGGACCACGGCCGACGCAGCAGTGACAATATCAAAGTAAATTGTCCTGCAAGCTACATCGCGATTCCGCGCTCCAATCATGCAGCACTACCTTGGCAGTGTGCGAGGGTGCTCCAGGGTCGACTCTGGCTACGCCAGAGTCGCCCTGGGCAGGCAGAAAACTTGGGAGAAAGCCAAGAACACGGAGCTCAGAAAGTGTAACCTGCTCCCAAGGAGCACACACACGCACACACACACACACACACACACACACACACACACACACATACACACACACACACACACACACACACACACACACACAAACACACACACACCGTGACAAGCACCTTTGCAAAATTTCAACGCAGGTTGGTGCCATCAATTTGCCCTGTACAGATATGTAGCAAAGCAACTCAAGGACATGCAGTATTGTCTGTACATGTACAGGCAGGTGTGTAGCTCCTCTATAGTCAGCATAGTCCGGTCACTACACCAGAAAATGGTCGTCATACCTACTACATAGTCTTAACAGGCAAAATGGCGGCTATGAGGTTGTCGGTGGTACATGGTCACTACACCACAGATGGTTGAGCTACACCCCCTATGTACAATTCTGTGAGTGTCTCTCAGTCACCTGACTGATAACAATTCTACTTACCTCCAACAAAGGTATCCACTGACTGCATGTCATCTAGGAACTTTGAAAAGTTTGCTTCAGGTTCGGTGCTACGCACAATACTACAGAAGGTGTGGAAAGTCTCAGCTGTACCCCTGCTCAGCATATCTAGCAGTCGGTCATTGTGTTTGGCCGAATCTTTTATCGCCATCAATTCCTTCTTCTGCGCATCGGAGATCAACCGCTTGGCACAGCATTCAACACGAATTGCATCGCAGCTGAGCGCTGTTTGGAGGCGTGGGATCCACTTGCGGAACATCTGGCTTGACCATGGCCATGTGTTGACCGCGTGGTTCTGCAATAACAACATACAGAGTGCATACAGTCGACCTTGGCGGATAATGCTCAGAAAAATTGGCAGATTCTGCTTGAAAAGCAGTGAAATTGGCAGAACCATACAAAACTTATGGCAGGCACTTCACCTTGCCTTGAATTCTGCTCCATTTCTTTATCCCCATACCAAACATGCATGAAAACGTCCACAAAAGTACCAAATTTTGAAGACAAAAATTCTGCCCGCAGTATCTGCCAAGGACTAGCATACCATGAGCTGAGAATCACAGAAGCTGCCAGTAAGGTACGACCAGGGAGTCGTAAAATACCGGTATTTAACAACTCCCTGGTTACGACCAGTACTTAGCAGCACACCCCGTGCCATGCAAGTTCTGTTTTTTTGTAAACTGCCAGAGATCTGTGCTGTGTTGATCAAGTGTTCATCGGGGGACGAGACAGCCCTGGCTAGCTGCCGATATACTCGTATGGGCTTATTGCTTGCGTTTGGCCACTGCCATTTCAGGGGCCTGGTCGGCTGAGGTAGGCCACATTGAAGCGTTACTGTTCGCTGAAGATAATCAATAATACCAGATGGCCCTTTACACGTATTGGCACAAGTTTTAACCATCCAATGATAGCATGGAGCGGGTACATGTGTGTGTGTGTGTGTGTGTGTGTGTGTGTGTGTGTGTGTGTGTGTGTATGTGTACGTGCATGTGTGTGTGTGTGTGTGTGTGTGTGTGTGTGTGTGTGTGTGTGTACGTGCATGCGTGTGTATATATTGTATGTGTGTGTTTGTGTGTGTGTGTGTGTGCACGTGCGTGTGATTGCATGTGCAAGTGTACGTGCGCATGCAAACATGTGTGTACCGTAATGTCGCGTGCATTAGCCGGGGCTTATATGCCTATAAGCCGGTGATGGAGTCAGGCTTGTACACAAGACAGGCTTATACACGAGACAGGCTTATATGACAAGCACCACTCAATGACCAGGCTTGTATGCGCAAACTGCTGACTTTTGGACGTCAAAACCAACATTTTCCAACTTCAAACAAGCAACTTGCCAAGGGACAAGACGGAAAATGCCATGGGAAAGGTAAGTTTGAAGCTTGAAGAGTGCTGCATGGCCGTCGAGCGCAGCTGGTGTTGATTTCCGCATCTTCCCACGTTTTCCGCGTGTGCAAGTGTACGGTACCATGCAAACATGAACATGTAAAAGGCGCGCTCACCAGTCTTGCGTAGTAGCCCGGCTTACGCACGCGACACGTGGCGCGTCTCGTGTACTGGCCCGGCTTATGCATGCGACAGGCTTGTACGCGAAAAGCTGTTGCAGATTTCATGCTTCTACACGAGACAGGCTTATGCACAAATCCGGCTTATGCACGCGACATTACGGTATGTGTGTGCACACTGTAAGATGTCTTTGAGACAACATTTTCAGAATTTGGCAAAGCAATGACGTATGGACAATTCATACCTCTGCTGTAGCCATGACTGCGACAAAAGAAACAGTCACGGACGTCGGTCACCATCTGTTGTACATATACACCCAACAAACCACACCAAAATAAACGTGGCACATCATGAGTGATGTAGAAATTGATAACATTCTTCAAGGGGAAGTTAAGGCTGAAACTAAAATATCACCAGTTGTAGTCTTCGGGGTGCTGAGTCGAATAGTCTTGGTCTGAGGAAGCTGAGACGTTCCCTTCCTGCTTTAATCCCAATCGAACTTGCGCACTTCCACCGAAACTGGGTGACCGCGATTGGCCCATATGTTGTAGTCTTTTGGCCGCTGAGTCGACTGGTTTTGGTCCGAAAAGGCTGCGATGCAGCGTTCGGCCCTTATTCCCAATCGAATATGCTTGAACAAGCGGTCACGTGCTCCTGCGTACACCAGTCACCTGGTCACCGTGCCTGCAGGGTACAACTTACTAGCCTGTTTGACCTTTTTGGGGTGCAGTCCTGTCACTCGAGTTGAACTCGAGTTGAACCTTGGTGCGAAACTTGTTGCCTGCTGGCGCTCTGACCAGGTGACTTGGGCACGCAGGAGCACGTGACCGCTTGTTCAACCATGTTCGATTAGGAATAAAGGAGGAGCGCTGCATCGCAGATTTCTTGGACCAAAACCAGTCGACTCAGCGTCCAAAAGACTACAACACATGGGCCAATCGCGGTCATTCGTGCTTTTATAAGAACGAAATGGCGCTTTTAGTGAAATTTTGCATACAAATCCCCATCTAGTAGGGCGCAGTCACCCAGTTTCGGTGGAAGTGCACGAGTTCGATTGGGCTTAACCCTTTAAGAGCCGCCCCATACTTGAATGCGTCGTAAACGACGCATTCAAATGCAAAACTTCAAAAGATCGTAACTCAGTCCAATCTCGCTCAAATCCAGTGATCGAAATATCCAGGGCGAAGAGAAATCTCTCACCTGTCGGGAGAAACAATCCGCGAAGCGCTGCGAGCAACGGTTCCTGAGATAAATCACTCGTAAGTTGAGCCGCGATCGCGGCAATTTCAAAAGCGCGCAGTGCGACTTTAGTATTGAGAATTTTGAGACTTTTCGTCAAGCTGGCTTACTCGAATTTGCACGGGTTTCACTGTTGATATTGTCAAGAGTACACAGCGAAAAAATTGGAACTCCACGATCGAGTAAAATGAAATATCTGGAGCGGGACGCAATTGGACGCATTTGGGGCATTTTTCGTACTGTCGCTGCGATCTAGCGCTGGATAGACGGTGTGCTGGCTATCATGATCGACCTCATTCTCTTCCTCTCGCGGAGACCTTTCCAGGAAGCCCTAGATTGTGAGGATTGAGTGAGTAGAACTGAAGCTATGATCCAAAGAACACGAAAAAATGCACAATTTTGAAAATTTCCTGTGGCTCTTAAAGGGTTAAAGTAGGAAGGGAGCGTCTCAGCTTCCTCGGACCACGACCATTCGACTCAGCACCCTGAAGACTACAACTGGTGAAATTTTGACTTCAGCCTTTTAAAAAGGGGAAGTCCGGTGAAAAATTTAAATTTCACAGTCCGGGGAGTTCGAGGCGCTGAGTAGATTAGTCTTTGTCCGAGGAGGCTGCGGCCTATGGTTCGTCAGATACGCCCAATCGAACATGTGCGAATTTGAGCGCGCATCACCCAGATCCAGGTGATGACGTCACAGCGTGCAGCCAGGTAGCCACACCATCTAGTTGTGTACAAAATGGCCATATTTGGAGCGCGTTCGATTGGGGAACCGTTTGTCGCAGCTTCTTCGGACCAAGACCATTCGATTCAGTGTTACAAACACTACGTACCCTGTGATTTTCAGCTCGGTAAACCTCGAGGTTATACCATATTTTAGCCGTTTCCGAGTTGGACTTTTTCCGTCGGCATGCACTGGCCTCTACGGCTCTAGCAATGCGCTGCGTGCATGCTAGATGTAGAGTAGTCAACAAACTCATCACACACGGAACTACTCCCGCACTGCCGTGCTGGGGTAGCTACAAGACTCAGAAAACTAGTCAACACACGGACTTGCTATGTGCTGTACTACACTCGTATCAGTGGTATCGTATCAGTCGTATTGTACAGTCATGTAGTTAAGTCAGAGAACGTGCGTTTCTCCTTGCCGGTGCCGGTGGATGTGCTTTGAGAAAGAAAATTTTAGTTTTCGGCTTCCGCCTCATTATTTTATGCTACAGCGATGAGTGCACAACCGTGGCAAGTGACAAAACAGCGAACAGCTCCCGGACCTAGAACTTTCAGATCCCGTAGCGTTGCGATCGAAGAGTCGCGCCAGTGGTTCAAAGAGCCTGCACTGTTCTCCAATTGAGTATTCCGAAATGTGCCAAGTTATTATTTCGCAACAAAACATCACCATGTGGCAGGCTACTGGAGTCTAGGCGAATCGGTATGGAACAACATTTAGAGCACTCGCATCAGTCTTCTCCATTTTGGCGACTCTGCTCTCCAGCGATCTGATAATTATATCAGCCTCGTCTGCCTGCTGCTTCTTCATCCGTCGGAAACTCAGTAGCGCTCACTCTTGACGGCCCGAGCGACCATTTCCTCAGTTGAATACCGTGGTTCTCAGCCCCAGGCCGAACTCATGAAGGTCAGCCATGGCTGCATCCTCACTGTCACAAGGATTTTACGTCTTCGGGGTCGCTTGCACCACCTACTATCGGTCGCCAAATCATTCAAAATAGCACTGACACTATTGCTTTCATGCACTCCTTTTGACCTAGCTGCATGCTATGACGCTGCGGAGGGTGTGGCGCGGCCGCATGACGTCATGGCACAGCCCCGAAACTCTGTTTTTTTCAAACGGAAATATCTCGAGAACGCTTTGTCGGAGACACGTGGGACCAACACCATTCGACTCAGCGCCCGAAACTCTACCGACCCTGAAATTTAAATTTTTCACCAGACTTCCCCTTTAACTTCCCCTTTCAGAATGGTTTCAGCGGGTGCAGATTCCAATTATTTTTTTTCACGGTTCGCGTGAGACTCGGCTGGAAGCCGGGTTTTCCGCATCCGTAGGAACGCCACCACCCTTCAAGGATCAAAGCGCAGATGCAGCTCCTAAAGCGGTGGGAGGTGAGTAGATCAGCTCACCAGCAAGTGGTCAAAGACCGAAAATCCCATTCACTGCATCCATGTTTTCCTCGTGCCAGCAGATTCCAAAGAAACCCTAAAATATAAAAAGCGCTTCACACTTTTTTTTCAGTGGAGGCAAGGTTCCAAGAGTGTGCACTGAACATTGACAAGAGTGCATCACCCCCAAGAGTAGGCAGCTCCCGTATACAGTTTTGTCCCAACAGAATTTCAAGTTGACGGCATTGTTTTGATGCAATGCTCCTCTTGCCAGAATGATTTACGGCGTTTGTACAGCTTATCAAACCATCAAACATTTTTCCTTGTGCTATTTTGTACTACATGTAGCTAAAGTCCAGGATATGTTTGATAGTCCGCGCACATTGCATCATAATATGCCATCGAATACCCGACCGAATGGCCGTTTTCGTTTGGGGATTTCATGTAAGGTTTCTCGTAGCCACGTGGCGCTTCTTTGGAAATGATTTGTTCCATTTTGAATGTTTTGCCTTTGGAATGTTTCTTCACGCCCCGTGCGTTCATTTCGCCCCAAACCTGGCCATGCAGAGGAGGAAGACGAGGCAGCAGGCGCTAGGCCCGTAAATTACTGCCTGGAAGATATTATTTTGGCCAAAGCTTGCTGTTGGCGTTTTCGATTTCTTGGATACGACAGCTCTTGGCTAAAACGGGACCTTGGACGGTCTTTCTTGGACATCAACATGGGACGTACCACATTAGGCGTGGTGGTCATGGACGTATCGCCATCGCTTTCAGCCGGACTCTTCTGCTGCCTGAAACCAATGGCGAAAGTAAAAACTTCATCGCAGCGGCAGCTACTGGTCTGCTGAAAGTGCGAACACAAATAATTACTTCGCCAATCCTCTTGTGCACTTGCAATTTTCAATGCGACCAAAACGATTCGCTTGTCAGTTCTTTTGTCCAGGCGTACTCCACAACGAGGAAAATAAAATTTGTGAAGGCAAGAGGCAAGATACGAATCTCGACTCGCTTGAGGCAAGCCGCCAAGAGAACGACGACTTTTGTGACGAAATGCCTTCGTTGCGTTTGTTTTGAGTGCGACATGTTCATCTTCCTCGGACACGACACAAAGTTTTGAGCCACGTGTCACGATTACTATGGGAACAGCATAGATGTATGCTTGGTTCCGTGATGTCCTATCTAGGACATCTCCAGGACTGATGTACTGTCGTGGACATGGAAATCCGGTCGGACGTCTAGCGGCCCCAGGGCACTGGCCATGCAGCCGTGGGTAAGCGGAACGTGCATTACTAGTATGCGATGCAGCGCAGCGCGCTGGTCGCACCGTACGTGCTGAGGGCGCCGGCCCCGGTCCATCGACTGGATTTCCATGTCCACTACAGTACATGCACTATCACACAGTGACAAGGTTTCACATGGTAGATCTACAGCTTGTATGGTGTTTTGAGTTTCAGACGCCCTTCCGTGCAAACGACCGTGATTACGTGCCCGAATAAACGAGTGGGTGTAACCATGCTCTATTTATTTATTATTTCGGCCAGTCGGCTACCACACTTCTTTGTTCCTCTTGGAGGCTAGACAAGGGGAAGTAGCCATGTTAGGGGCGTGAGCCAGCCTTTCGGCATCGGGACTGGAGTTACAGCTGGCTCGACTCGACTCTACTGAGTGAAGAGAAGCCACACCTATTCACCTATTCACCTATTCACCTATTCACCTATTCACCTATTCACCTATTCACCTATTCACCTGTTCACCGCACTTTACTGAATGTACTCGCAATCGCAGTACACAAGCAAAATAGTTATTTAGTAGAATGAGCCATGCATACCCGTTACCGGTGCACTGCGGCCACTTCAGGAAACGAGAACGAACAACAATACCCAAGAACCGAACAACACTGGCCAACCACTTACCCAGAATCACTGGAACACCATGACAAACGGGGACGATGAACGTCCAGCGACGAGCGCTCCTGCAGGCTGCAGCCAGGAGTCACGGTTTGCTTGAATCCTGGACACGACTTTGAACGTCGTAGGCGGATAGGCTGTAGCAGTTTTCGACGTCGTGACGGTATAGAGCAGTCGAATGGAGCCTCCGAGCCAGTAGGAAACTTCAATGAAACCCTTTGGCCAACACACAGATTCTTACACAGCCTGCACCCAAACAAACTTTGACACGAAGCAGCAGACGGCTAAACTAACTGTAACACCACCTCGCTGCCAACAACAACTCGTCTACAGGCTGCCTGTACTGGCTGTAGCATGAAAAACTGAAGAAACTACAGCTAGTGCTGCAGTGAAAATATTTCACCACGAAGCTCCAGTGCGGAAATGGTGCTCGTTTCGCCGAGGTGAGCTACTAATTACAAAAATTATAATTAATTAATTTATACCGCGTAGGTCTACTGCAGCAGCAGCAACAGCTAGCATGCAGTGCGTGACTCCGTGATCGTGAGGCCTGAGGGCGGCCCTGGCCGGTACGGGTGGGTAGATCTACGATACGGGTCCGTGTCACGTTTTGTGGATGACATGCCTGTTAATAGTGTTATGTTTGCTATAGTATAGTGTATAACGGTAATACAACCTCTGTCCGCAGAACTGCATGTCCTGACAGTCATTGTTAGAGTTGGGGGCCAGTTGTGTAATATTAGTTTGAGTTCGCAAAACGAACGGACTGAACACATGTCCAATGACAAGGAAGCCAATGAGGTCCAAGTAACCCAGGCATATGGGAAAGTACTTGGAAAGGTGACACAGATCGTGACCACTGGTGACGGCACCACAGCCCAAGAGCATGACACAAGGAAAAGTCTGGAACGAGGAAGTCGAAGACGGTAAGAGACCTCGGCTTGCACAACTCATTCCTCCCCGGCCCGCCCCCATTGAAATAAAACACTTGCATGCGATTGATGAGGATACAGTTCTTCTATGCCAGGATAGGAGATTGAAGGTCACAAAGACGAAATGTATCTACCGTTAACGCGTTCGGTGCTGCACCCAGTGCCCGCAGTGCCCGCAGTGTCAGGGCGCGGTCCTGGGACACAGTTGCTCAGCTGCTCTACCTTTCCCTTCTCTGTCCCTCTCCCCCTCCCCCTCCCCCTCCCCCTCCCCCTCCCCCTCCCCCTCCCCCTCCCCCTCCCCCTCCCTCCCTCCCTCCCTCCCTCCCTCCCTCCCTCCCTCCCTCCCTCCCTCCCTCCCTCCCTCCCTCCCTCCCTCCCTCCCTCCCTCCCTCCCTCCCTCCCTCCCTCCCTCCCTCCCTCCCTCTCTCTCTCTCTCTCTCTCTCTCTCTCTCTCTCTCTCTCTCTCTCTCTCTCTCTCTCTCTCTCTCTCTCTCTCTCTCTCTCTGTCTCTGTCTCTGTCTCTGTCTCTGTCTCTGTCTCTGTCTCTGTCTCTGTCTCTGTCCCTCCCTCCCTCCCTCCCTCCCTCTCTCTCTCTCTCTCTCTCTCTCTCTCTCTCTCTCTCTCTCTCTCTCTCTCTCTCTCTCTCTCTCTCTCTCTCTCTCTCTCTCTCTCTCTCTCTCTCTCTCTCTCTCTCTCTCTCTCTCTCTCTCTCTCTCTCTCTCTCTCTCTCTCTCTCTCTCTCTCTCTCTCTCTCTCTAGCGCGCGCACGCTCTTTCTATGTCACTGTCACGCGCGCGCGCGCGCTCTCTCTCTCTCTCTCTCTCTCTCTCTCTCTCTCTCGACCGACGTAACATAATTCTCAAAGTGACCCTACTCCTGGCTGGACCAGTGCAAAGTTACCATTATGCGTGCATGTACGGTACACATCTGCACGCACACACAGAGCCAATTAGTGGAAGTAAGTAATGTGGCTGCTGACCAATTCAACCTATGGGGTTTTGTCAATCACTGACAAAAAACGACTACTATGTACACAGTTATAATGAGTATGTATGTGTAGAGAGCTGTTGAATAGAACAGGGTATGTTCAAAAAAACTCAGTGTGCACCAGTTGTCCATCACATGACCTAGCCGCAGCAGAATATCTACATTGCACACCGCCTTGGCATACATGCATGTAGAAGCCGATCGATCACTGGTGTTAACAAATGGTCAGATAGCGGAATAGTTTATGCACTGAGTGATCATTATGGAGTGCAATAAGCGTATCGCCATCCACCATCAACTGGCGGACAAGGGATGTACTCGACGTCAACGGCAAGACAGAACACTGGCCTGTACACGTACTGCAATCAACACACATGACACCTTCCACAAGTACACCAACATCAGAGATGGAGCACCACCATGGCATGGCTATCGTGTTACCTACAGCAACCGATGAAAACTCGCCAGGCATTGCCACACCAGCAGTCCCAGAGATGTCCACTTTGATCTCGAACCATGATGACATTCGCGGATCCGCCTCGCTTACATCCAATTTCATGATTGACCAATGCGTATCATTGGAGTCCCAGCTTGGTATCACAAACAGAGTACCGTCAGTGCTGCAGATGCTGACCGGCGGCTCCGGCATGCGGACCGGATCCAATTTTGCCCATACTGCACCATCATGTCTGGTATCTAATGAAATAACTTCTAAGAAATGGTTGCGCCATAAGCATACTACTAGAAGCGCTGACTGGGTTATAAATACATCCCCAAAAGGCGTGAAAGATGTATCCATACTCGTAGCTTGTACTGGGATACAATCACATTGTATTTCTCTAGTACATTCTCCCTGTAGATCTACAACATAGATATTGGGGCTACTCCCATCCCAAAAATCACTACTTGCATAGTACATGTTTTCATTGTGAAGGCTAAAAGATCTGCAAGGGAAAAAGAGTGGGGTGTCAAATTCGAGTACTCCTGTCCATGCCACCTCAAGACTTTCGTTCAGAGGTTGAGTAGACCGGTAGAGCACTCGTTTTTTCTCTTCCTGGCACACAAGGTAAGCATGCCCATTGTACATGGTACAACGATGGAAATCTTGCCAGCTATCAGGTAGACGGCCACGGAAAGACCACTGCAGATTATCAAAAACACAAAAGAATAAAAGAATGGAAAATGGACGGAGCACATTTTCCAGCACAGCTCTGATCAAGATATGGCAGGCGTTTTCAGACAGGGTATGCTACTTGTGAAATACACCACTCCTCACTGCAAGTTGCAACTATACCTAATAGTGAAGAATATTGTGCATTGTGCCTTTTGCACAAATATAAATAGAGAGTGGAGCAGACGAATGCTAGTTAGGAGGAGGAGGAGCTGGAGGGGGGGGGGGGTGGTGGTTGGGTTTCTTTTTCAATTCGTTGCCTCAACAGTACATGGGGTGCACAGGGATGGGGAGGAAGAGGAGGAGAAAGTAGAAGAAGAGGTTGGCTATGCAGTGGTTTTGGTTCATGAAAGTAACTGTTTCCACAGTTAGACATGAGTAGATGACACTCACATCGGCTTCATTCTGCTCGGAAGTTTTCCCTTGCTGAATCATAATGTTGTATCCTGACCATCCACACTTCATTGTAATTAAAGATTTGAGTATCACTGAAGTCGCTGCAACCTCTTCTTACAAAATGATTGCATTAAATTTAATGAAATACAACGGTGCACCATACCCCACGTTAAATGTTTCAAGGGGTACATATCTCCTCCTCCTCCTCCTCCTCCCCCCCCCCCCCCCAAACACACACCTAACATGACCAGACCTAAATCTGTCCCTGCGTTACCTATGATGTTTGCATCTACAGGGGCGTCGGAAGGTAATTTAGTGTGGTACGGTCAGCCAACTGAAGTACAATTTACTCGTGGGTGTGGGATGGCTGAGCCGAAATTTTTGGGAATTTAGAGCCCAAACCAGTGCATTTTGTTGATTCACAGGGTACTTGGGGCAAATAGTGGTACGGGCAATACCGTAGTGACCGTACCGTGTCCGACGCCCCTGATCTAGTCTCTTCTTACCTGGTGACAAAGTGGCGGTTGGAGAAACAGCTTATCGTCAGCTCCCTGGCTTTCTACTGCATGTCCAGTATTGGCAGAGACGTCTTGTTCAGGTTCTGCAAGAAAGGAGACAAAATATGAAATGAAAAAGAATGGCAGGAAAACAGATTCGAGCCTGAGGCATTTCTCTGCACTGTCCCGAAGTCACTATTCCGTACTGTGATGATAACATCACTCTTTTGAAGTACACAAAATTCTGAACTCTCTTGCTCGAAAATGTTCTTTGTGACAAATACAATCATACAAGTGTTGGCGTTCCTGCCGAGTGACTCGACACTTGACTGACACACGACTGCTGTCTAGAGCATACCAGGAGCACGTCGAACCTTCCACTCCCCAAACCTGCAAGAAAGCATGAGCTGGAACATTCGGAGGTGCCACTTTCTTGAAACTACAATGTAAATGAAAAACCGAGATAATTTGACATTAATGTGAGATTCCCATTTGAGCGACATGAGGGAGGCCAGAAAGAACAACACATGTATTAAGCCTAGCGAACACACACACACACACACACACACACACACACACACACACACACCTTCCTCCTCCTTCTTCCACTGCCATGACCGACTGTGTGGCCTCATACGGGGCAGACCAGGAGACGTGTTGTCCACCGGGCGGGGAACGCCATACTCAGCGCACGCGGGCCGTGCGAACAGCGTTACACTTGTGCCTCGCAATATCCTGTGGCCGACGAAAACTGCGCGAGCAAGTGCCACAGGTGAGGGGCTTCGCCACAGGCTTCATGCGGGACTGGACAATAGCGTCGACAGCGTCACGGCAGGTGACCCGCCATCCCTGTCGATCTTGGACGATGTCATCAAGCTGCTCCAGAGGAATGTCAACAGCCATCAAGTCGCACTTCGTTGAATCCTTCTAGCGCTTACGGGGTCCATGCGGTGGACGTTTGGAGGGTAACGCGCCGTACAGCAGCTGACGAGGGATCCGATCTTGCATGCGGGACACGTGGCCAAGCCATCGAAGTCGGCGGACTCTGACTTTATCCGCGATCTACTCCATATCGCCCCACATCCTGCGAACCTGGAGAGAGGAGATGTGCTCCTCGATCTGCCGGCCACGATTTATCCTCAGGATGGAGCGCACACACTGCAGGTGAAAGGACTCCAGGCGACGGACATCACGCTGCCTGACGGTCCAACTCTCAGATCCATAAAGAAGACCGCCAGGACAGTCACTCCATACACAATGCGCTTGATGGCGATGCTGAAGTCATCACTGCCGAAAACCGACTCCCGCAGTGTACAGAACGCACCCGATGCAGCAGCAACTCGCCGAGACACATCAAACGAGCTCCGGGCGTCTGGCGTAACATGACAACCGACATAGCGAAAGGCCTCAACGTGGTCAACAACACCATCCAAAGGGGTCTGGTCGGCATCCACAATACCAGCCCCAGCCGCCATGAATTTGGTCTTGGACATATTGACACTAAGGCCAAACGCACCTGCTACATCCCTGAACGAGGATAGAGCCCTCTCAGCACCAGCATGCCTAACTGCGAGCAGAGCTGAATCATCCGCAAACTGACACTCCGTCAGCCGAATTCTGCGATGCTCTGCCAATCTGGTGTTGAAAAGCCGCTCTCTCCGAAACTGGATGAGTGGGATCTCCAGCTCACCATCATCAGCAATCACGCCACGCTATCTCTCAAAGACTGCACACATGTATAGGTTAAACAAAACGGGGGCCATAGTGCGACCCTGCCGCAAGCCGTTCTCAACCCGAATCGGTGCAAGCAGGTCTCCACCCACACGAATACTGGCAGTCATGTCGCTATGGAAGGAACTGATGATGGTGATCAGACTCCCTGGGACGCCAAGTCTAGCCAACACTCTCCACATAGCACTCCGCGGAACCGAGTCGTACGCTTTCTTCAGATCGATGAATACAGCGAAACCTTTCGTTGCATGTTCGTGCAACTTTTCCAGGATCTGCCGCACAGCAAACACCATATCCGAACAACCACGGCCCCTGCGGAAACCACACTGCGAGTCAGGCAAGCACCTTTCTCTGAGAACCTGCAGACGACTGGCAATCATGCGAGCAACTAGCTTTCCAGCCACATCAAGTAATGATATCCCACGCCAGTTGTCGCAAGACCCCAGGTCACCCTTCTTGGGGATGGGGACGAGGATAGCATCAGACCAATCCTGTGGAACGCTGCCAGTCTCCCAAACCACCTGGATCAGTTCATGCAACTTCGCAATTAGGGTAGGGCCACCGTACTTCAGCATCTCCACAGATATCTCGGATCCGCCCCATGCTTTGCCACACTTCATCCCTCCCAATGCACGCCAAATCTCATCACACTCAGGCACGACACCAAGCTCCTTCATAACCGGCCGCTGCTCGATCCATTCCACTACTTGGTCCGTTTCATCGCAATTGTCGCTTATCTCCCACGCACCTTTTGACAGGTAAAACCCAGTCGATCTCGATATCTAACTCACATTCGTTCGGGAGGTTGTGATGGCAAGATCAAAGGAGACCAGAAAGAAAATAACCATCGCGACTAGCGCCATTGGCATCGCGATTCGTACTATTGTGATGGGAAAGTGGGAACTTTTCCCTGCAGTGAATGCACTGCAGTGAATGCACTGCAGTGAATGCACACATTCACTGCAGCGAAAAGCCAAGCGCAGCTCAAAGACCGGAACTGTAGCAGGAGAAATCGACATCCTGACGACATGCCACTGGAGAGCGTGACAGTCACGGCCAGGCCAGCCAGCTCAGTCGCCACGTTTGAACTGCAAGTGCAACGACCTGGCATTTTTTGCAAGCCTGCAAACTGATGGCGAGATGGTGGCAAAGAAGACATTGTCCGACCTGGCAGCGGCAGTACAAGAGTCGTGGTCATCGTATCCAGCAGAGCGTATGACAGCTGTCTGGAGAGGGCTGTTTGCCTGATTCAAAAACATTGTTGAAACACACAGTGATGACACACGGGTCACGCTGCCCACATTCCTCCAAGTGCCAAAGTGACAGCCACGAGTCGTTGACTGGTCCTTTCCCTAGCTGCCATACGCCAAGCGGAGAAAGCAAGAGATATTCTACCGTCTACGCCAGCAGCTATACATACCAGCGAATGTCAGCTCAAGTGATATCAGCTCGAGTGATACAGAGCCAGAGTCGGATAAACTAAAGCGTGAGTGCAAGAACGCGCTCGGTCGCTGTTTTCTTTTGAACATTTTTTGTAACCTTACTTCCTTTCTTCGACTTGCTTCATCAGATTCGATCGCTGAATTATTTTGCTTGTGGCGGACAGGAATCCTGTATCATGCTTCTTCACTATGCGTATAGAAAATTTTATAGAGCGGTAAAATAACTCCTGTTCTTAGTTGCGATAGATAAGCGACAATTGCGATGAAACGGACCAAGTACCTCCAAGTCATAAGCATTGGCAATGTTCAGGAGGCCATCGAAATGTTCACGCCACCTTCCACCGGTGGCCTCAGCCGTGTCACAGATCGCTCCTTGCTTGTTTCTGATAGCAGTTGTTGTACGGGGACGCATACCACCCAAGGTAGTCTTGATGTTACCGATACACTCCCAACCGCTCTTCGCCGTCAAGCCAAACCATTCACAATCCTTTGCCTGTCTCAGCAGCCAGTCTCGCTTCAGCCTCCGCATGGTGCACCGCGCCGCACTACGAGATTTCTTGTGCAATTCCAGATCACTGGTCTTCCGCGTTGACATCCAGGTCGAGTAACAACTGTCCCGATCACGGAGTACCGACTCGATCTCAGTGCGCTTGTCTGTAAACCCTTCTGGCTGTCGGCGTCTCTCCCGACCCAGGCAGTCGCTGGCAACGTTGATGGTGGTCGTCTTGAGGGTACTCCACCACTCCTCGATGGACGGATTCGGGGTCTAAACCTTCTCCAGCGCAGCATCCATGCCCTTGGAGAATCTCTCACGCGCAACCTCCATATCCTCCGGAGCACCACTACGCAGGTGCGACACAGCAATGGGTTTCGATCGACCAACACCATTGCGGGAGACATGTGAACTGGGCATGGCACCTAGACGATGTTTCATGCCTAGAAGCTTATAGTCAGTGTCGCATTCCGCATTACGTATTACTTGGCAGTCCAAACACTGCGACCGATGTGCTTGTGGTATGATGCAATAATCAATACAGTGCGGGTGCTTGTAGCGTGAATGAAACCAGGTATGTTTATGGATTTCCTTCTTCTTGAATAATGTGTTGCATACAACAGCTCCATTTTGTGCCAAGAAATTGAGCAGCTCCTCTCCTGCTGAGTTCATACGACCAAAACCATACTGCCCCGGCACGTCACTCCACTCATCATCCACCTCGCCAACTCCAACTCTAGCATTGAAGTCACAAAGAATGCAATACTGGTCTGACTTTGGAACGCTGTCAATGAACGTCTGCAAGCTGTCATAAAACGCAGTTTTTTCAGCACGCGGTCTGGCGACCGTCGGTGTATATCCGACAGCGATGTGAATACACAACGGCAAACGGTTCCGTCCACACTAGAATTTGACTCTGGCGGAAATCAATCTCGAGCTGTGCCCCTTCCACTGCGAGCCACCGCGAACAAATGCGTCCATGCAACGACCGCGCAATACAATTTCCTTCACCCCGCCTCGCCGACTCCCCATCAGACGGAGTCGGACGGCCACTCGCAGAGACGAGACAGTCGTCGACTTGGTAGGAATTAGTTTCAAACCAGAGGGTCTCCTGAAGTCCAACGACGTCCATGCTGTAGCGCTGCAGTTGCCGGCAACAAGGATCGATTTTTCTCTCCTCGCGGAGTTGTCTTTTTGAATTTTTGATATTTTTTGAGGCAGTGTTCAAATCGCTGTCCACGCTCACCAAAGTTCTGACGTTCCACGTCCCCATGGACAACACAAAGCTGGTGCACGTTGTGAGCCGAACTCTAACCGGGGGTTCGCAGAGCCTCCGCGCTCATGCGGACGAGGTTCAGTACGAGTGGTCACATTGGAAGTGACCATGGTGTCGACACTGATTTATTTCCTCGCCCGCGACGACAAGATGTACGTCGTCTTGTTCAGCGCAACCTATCTAATGCTCCTGTCACCAGGGCTGGCTCTGGCCTTGGCCAGAAGCCAGCCCGTGGCTGAAAACTACTTGCAGAAGACAGAGGAAAAAAATCCCCAACCGTCACTCAACTCAACAACTCAGAACACGCACACGCACACACACACACACACACACACACACACACACACACACACACACACACACACACACTGTACTGTACTGTACTTGCTCACTGCCACAATTGGTCACGGGGGTCTCCCCGGGAGAGGGGAGAGAGGAACTCAAAAGGAATGTTGGAAAGAAGACTCAACTGGCTATTGAACCGCACAACGGCCGACACCCCCTGAAATCCCCAAACTATGGGTGGACTTGAAAATGATCCCACTTACGGGCTCACCATACCTCAGTAAGTGGGTGAGGACAAGATGCAGAAAAAGGATTCACGGCATCAGGGTATCCATCCTGGGATCTAACCGCAGTTACCCCTGCCCCCAGTGCAGGTAATACTTGCTACTAGTGTGGGTGGCTAAATCAGAGTGGATCTGATATAAGCTTCACTAGCACCAGTGACAACATAAGAATTAATCTTGCCAGAAGCAGTCCATGGTCAACAGGTATGTATACTTCAAATAGAAAGTATATGAACCCTGCAACCAACAAAGGTGGCAGTTACAACAATACACCTTCAAGCAGCCGAACCTGTTGGCAACAGACCCAACACTATCTGGCATATGCGTACCCACCAACCGGACTAGCTCGCACACACACAGACACACAGACACACACACACACACACACACACACACACACACACACACACACACACACACACACACACACACACACACACAATATGTACACATGTGCATTGTGATGGACCAATGTTTCATCACAACCATATTGGTGCACTTACGATCAACGTGAGCAGAGGTCGAAGTTGCCTTACTTGCCGCCACACCTAAGAAAGACCGCAACAGGAAAGGCAAAGCATAATTTTACGACTGCAGGGTCACTTGTTTTCCTTATGTCTTAGGTGAGATTCACAGAAGCATTCTTGCAATGCTATGTGCGATACGAAGTGATCTGCGACGCCGCCGTGCGATGCAAACTCACAAATTACCATTCACAGAAGAAGTCAGCGATGCAACGACGCCTTGCTGACGTGCCCCAAAGCTCAATGCAAATGTGTACGTCACTGTGGCATTTGTGTAGTCGGGTACAGCTTGTACAAATCTACAAGCAACTCTTGAACCTTTTCGTACAACTTTGTTGCGAAGGTCAAAACCGTACATCACATCGCATGTCACACGGCAGAAGTTGAGCCAAGCAGTGGCAAGCTCTACTTCTGCGATGGGCCAGTTGTGACGGCTGAGTGAGCTGTGCGATCGGTGCGTTTTGGGAATATCCTGGTTTCAAGGCCAACGCATCGCGCATCACATCGTAAAAATGTTTCTGTGAATACCACATAACAGCGAGTAACGTTGCTGGTGCTAAGATGCAAGAGATTTATATGCCCCCCCCCCCCCCCCCCTCACACACACACACACGCACATCACCTATATAGGGGAATACCCTCCACAGACTTGCTGAAAATTCTACTTGCAGCAAAATGGCCTCGGGAGGTTCAGTACAAAGGGAGGCTTTTCTGAAGGACCACAAGTTCATCAATACACGCACCAAACCGTCCTCCGATTATTCCGATGCGGCAAAACGCACTATTTCTCTTCATTGTGGTCCAAGTGACATTGCCAAAATGATATGGCATGTGTGATTTTATAACACGGTGTAAATATTATCGCTGATGCACACCGGTTCACAACAAAGACAGCAGGGCCCAATAGACACAGTACACGCAACACAACCACAAAACAATGGAATTGATTGAACTCACCACGTAGAAACTCAGGCAGTGCATTCAAGCATGCTCCATCATCATCGAAGACGAGCTTGGTCAGTGCAATCACTGCATGCTGTACGTTCTGTTGGTCAGCCACAGCGACAGACAGCTCATCTCGGTCGAAGGATGGGTATCGCTTGGAGAACTCTTCAACCAAGCGCTTCTGGTCATCAGGAGTAATACCTGAACAAGAAAACAAAGAGTTTCGGACCTTTGCTCCAGAGGTAAATTGAAGCATATCAAGGAAGCTGTTTGGTTGTAAACACTACTTGGTTCTGTCAAAAGGGTCTCCTCGAAAACTTGTTTGCGGACAAACATTATGAACCGAAATGTGCATGTAGTAACCACTTTCCCACACGACAGCCAGTCGTCTGTTGACTAGTGATGATCTCCCTATCATCATGGGACCAAGGCTTAGGAATTAACTTGCTGCTATCGGTGCATTCCTATTTCCTACAGCACCAATCGGTCTTACCTTTGCCACTGCATGTCGCGGGACGAAAATTGAAGACTACTGCTCCGTCCACAGTTGACACTTCGAGAATGTGCAGACCAGCGAGCAGGCTAGATCGGTCCTTACAGAACTCCCAAAGCCTTGTATGAGCTTTGGCTGACATCTGTACAAACACTGCTGTGCCTCCGCTCTCGCCGTGCACGCTGTCGGCGTGGATGCTCCAATCGCCAAGGAGATTGCGGAGATTTCGTATGACACTTTTAATGAAACTCGGAGCCGTGTGATTATATTCACATTCGATGATGAACTTCACTATAGACGACCTCTCGTCTGTTTCAGAATAATAACAGTGTATATGCATGCACAGTGACACATGCACGTTCACGCATGTACACATCCATCGAGTCAGAGACCGAATAAAGAAGAAAATTGGAAAGTTTAACTGAAAGGGGTGATTGTATTTTTCATGCAAGTAAGCATGAAGTGATAGCAATGGATAGTCCTGAAGAGTAAATAGGTTGTGTCATGAAGTAATGAGGGAGTTGAGCATCATTAACTTGTGAGCATAATTATTATTCGCTATTAGTCTAGCACAAAAAATTCAATTTCGTATAAGACCAAGATGCACTGAACTCTTTGCTCATTCTGCCTACAGTTTCACTTGTGAAGACGCTGTATATAGGCTGAATCACCTTCGTCCAGTGATTTGCAGTCCACACAAACTGTTCTTGACCTGTTCTAAGCGTTTTCATATCCATCAAAATTCATGACGAAGTTTTTGTTAACGGATAAAGTAAAATGACAAACTATCTGGCATCTGGCAGCTCCCTTATCAAGCAATCCCGCAATCATGCTAGCACAGTAATGCTGACCTTTAAACTTCAGTCGTTTGCTGTCACGAATGGCCAGCCTAGTCACAGGGACTAGTTCATATTCAGTGATCTCTGTGACGACCGTGTTCTCGTCGATGAAGCCAGTATCCTTCAAGTACTGCTTGGTCTCTGAAATGCTGCGGCCGTCCCTGGCAGATCCAGTGCCGATGCTGATGAAACAAGGGTGCTTACTTAACTCTCTATGTATATCAACTGGCGATTTTTCTGCGACAGACGAGAAAGATGCAAAATGGAGAAACACACCGAACACAGTGAAAGCCAGTTCAGATCAGTCTAAACAACGACTAAACGCCTGGACGGGTTTGAGCACACCCATGCCAAGACAAGCCACCGGCCGCACCAAGAATACATTCGCACCCAGCCTCAAGGTTCTATTCATCAGTGATTTCAGTTTGGTCCATGACGATTCCCATACAACAGGAGCGCGTGTGGTGTCTTTCATTGTGGTAGGTCTCTGAAAGACATGCTGGTGTTCACCAGTCCTGAGTGTCCCCCTCCCCACCACGCATTGCGCCAGATGCTACAGCACAAAGCAGGGTGGTGGTGGTGGTGGTGGCGGCGGCGGCGGCGGCGGCGGCAGCGGCAGCGGTGGTGGTGATGAGATATTACCAATCTGCAAACTGTATATTCTGATGCACTAGAGACAGGTACAATCTATTGCTCACCAATTCGGCCGTCCGCCCGTGTCACGAGACCCTGGTACTTCTCTGCCTCATCTGCACAGTCCTTCGCGTCATCAATGATGATAGTGTTGGACACCAAGTGGTCGATTTCAGTCAATGCCGCTTGCCGTTGTTCTGAGGAAGACCAAAGCAGGAAAATAAAAATTCCATGTATCGAGTGAGACTCAGCCAGAGGCCAAGCTTTCCGCATCCGTAGGAACCCTACCAACCTTCAAGAATCAAAGCAGAACCGGGATGATAAAAACTTAAAGCAAATTTCTAGTGGACAGAAAATTGCACAGGGTAGAAATCACCTTGCACTCAGTTTATACGTGAGTCATGACTTAGTGCACATGAAGTACTTACAACATACAAGAACAATTAGAGAGCAAAACCTACTCTAAGTGTTTGCAAGTGGGAAAACGCAATCAATGGCACATTGCACATACAGCTACGTGTAAAAAGTAAATAAAAAAAGTAAATTATCGTGTCCGTTCCCGAAGGGAACTCACGACGACCGCTAACACCCGGTAAACCCTAGCAGGAGATGCACCGCGTAGCGGTGGAGGTGAGTGGATAAGTCTCACAACCACTGGCAGAAGTGCTGAGTAACCCCATTATATAATAGCAGCATCCATGTACCCCTTGTGCCTGACCACAAGTTCCCAGTAGACTGTAGGTAGCAGCATGGCTGGAAAAACCGCTTCCACAGCTACGTGTAGATTGAATTAAAAATTCCATTTTCCACGATAACTTTGGCTCAAGATCAGAAATCAAACAAGACATCAGTAGATACTAGCCCCGTGCCTACCTTCTCCCATGTTCTGCATCCTCAGCAGGTCTATGCTCTTAGGTGAAGTTGGCTGTGGTAAGTGGATGGGTTTCTTTCTCTTGTCGAGGACGGTCTGTGATGTGCGCATTCGTGCCACATCCTCGGCAGTGTGGACCACCCGTTGACGTTCCGGTGCTGAGAATTCTTTCATCAGGTCTACCACTTCCTTACAGTCTTTCTTGCATTCTGGCGAAACTGAAGACCACACATGCATGCGCCACCAAACATACCGGTAAAAGGACAAAAAAATTCAGTTGTTAATATGCTCGGCAAAGACCTGCAGCTTCTTCGGCCAGAAAACACAACACCACAAGACACGGCTAGCAGTGCAGCCGCTGGTGTTTGGATATCTCGGGAAAGGCCAACTCTCCGTGGGTCCTTGGAATCCAAAAGCTTCTGAGGTGTGGGCATCTTGCATCCCACTCGGAGCCCATGCTTATTGTTCCGCACCCCAACGATGCCCATACTTGGCAACCATCCCGATTTGGCCGGGACCGTCTTGATATCGAGGGTGTTAATAGGCAACCAAAGTGCATTTGTCGCATGCCTTACAGCTACAGTTGTATACACTTTCATACCTAGGTATGTCATTGTCCCGATTTCAGGTTTCCAAAGGTAGGCAGGTACGCATCCCACCCCAACATATCCCAACACACAGTCCCCTCACCACCTTCCCCTGCCCAACATCTGGTAGGTTTCACATTTCACAATAGGGTCAGCTGAAGCCAGGGGAGTTTAGTGGCTTGCGCAAGGTGGCATTGAGGCTGGAAAACCAGGGCCTCGCTTCTTCTTTTCCAGCCATGAACGGTTTCCCCAGAACGTCACCAAAGTACTAATGGTATCCAACAGTCCTTTCTGGACATGTAGAATTCTGTGAGTACCTCTCAGCCACCGTACTGATAAAGTTGCTACTTACCTCCAACAAAGGCATCCACCGACTGCATGTCATCTAGGAACTCTGAAAAGTTTGCTTCAGGTTCGGTGCTACGCACAATACTACAGAAGGTGTGGAAAGTCTCAGCTGTACCCCTGCTCAGCATATCTAGCAGTCGGTCATTGTGTTTGGCAGAATCATATTCTACTCCCATCAGTTCCTTCTTCTGCGGATCGGTGAGCAGCCCTTCGGCCAGGCATTCCGTGCGGATCGTGCCACAGCTGAGCGCTGCTTTGAGGTGTGGGATCCACTTGCGGAACACCTGGCTTGACCATGGACCTGTGTTGCCTGCTTGACTCTGCAAAGTCAACAGACATAGAGTCATACACACAATGAAGTGAGCATGAAATATCTTCTGGCTGCTGAGTTGAATGGTGTTTATTCGAGGAAGCTTCAGCAGCAGCAACAACAAAAGAATTCAAAAAATAACAACAACCAACAACAACAACAACAACAACAACAACAACAACAACAACAACAACAACAACAACAACAACAACAACAACAACAACAACAACAACAACAACAACAACAACAACAACAACAACAACAACGGCAACGGCAACGGCAACGGCAACAGCAACAGCAGCAGCAGCAGCACCAACAACAACAACAACAACAACAACAACAACAACAACAACAACAACAACAACAACAACAACAACAACAACAACAACAACAACAACAACAACAAAAACAACAACAAAAACAACAACAAAAACAACAACAACAACAACAACAACAACAACAACAACAACAACAACAACAACAACAACAACAACAACAACAACAACAACAACAACAACAACAACAACAACAACAACAACAACAACAACAAACCCTACATTCCCACTCAAATCAGCCCACATCCGCCAAAAGACAATGAATTCACCCTACTAGAAAGGTATTTGTGAAAAATTCACTTGAAGAGTTGTTTCGTTCTAAAAAAATCACGGACAACAATAACACTTTTAGAACCTATGGTCTTCGGGGAGATCAATCGAACTATGCTGATCAAAGAAAGCTGTGATACGTCATAAAAACTTGTTTTACCAATGAACCACAACCTCATGTCTTTGGCTCTTTGAACACCAGTCTCTATGTATTGAAATGAACAGGCTGGTGATACTCACCACTTATGAATGCACCAGCAAGTAATTGCACTGCAATATGATCATGAAAAAGCACCTGGACCTGTTCAAAAGGGTAAATTATGATTCTGACATTACTGCCGTCACAAGCAGTTCATTGTTGTAGCAGGGACCGTGGCCTTGACTTACTGATCTCAAGTGAGCACAGACGAGCAACGTTATTATGTGAGTGTGTGTACTGTAGAACATGTTATTGTAGGTAGGGCTGAGTCGGGTAGCATTTTCTTCGGGTATCGGGTCCGGGTAGTTTTCCACGGGTAGCACGGGTACCCGATCGGGTAATGTTTCCATGGTAAGACCACAATGCACACCAGCCCCTTCCCTTGCGCATTGGGTAGACATGCATGAATTATTTGTACACGTACACGTGCACTGTACATGATGTCATCTGCGACCTCGGGCTTTCGGGTACTATTCGGTACCCGACTACCCGAGGTCCTCACGGGTACCCGACTACCCGTGTACACCACTAATTATAGGTGTATTAAACTTTCGGTACCAGGGACCTGCCAGGTTTCAGGTGAAATGTAGAATTAGGTGACGAGCTTCCCCTTCACGTACAGTATGCACTCTACGTGTGTAGTCCCTTTTAGGTGTTATCTAATTTTAATTTAGGTACCTGGTTTCTCTACCGAAATCACTGAAATCAAAGTTACATCCTGACCGACAATAACGTGTTCATTTTAAATCGTCCCCCTCTCAAGGGTGACTGCGAACGGCCACCCAGGGTCGAAACCCAAGAGATATAGGGCTCAGGACTGCCAGAAGCAGTATCGGTCTGGTCGTACCATAGTCTTCCATACTTTTTTGTGATTTGGCAGGGAAATTATGCCTTCCTCAGCAGTAAACATAATGTTGGTGGCCACAAAGTTGGTCCGGTGATAACCCGACCAACCGAACCAGTTCCGGCAGGCCTGGGGTTAGAGTTGCCTGTGCCGTCTTCCCACAGCCTACGACTCCCTTGATCACATGACCCAGGATGTGCACCAAGAGTACATAAAACCCAGAGTGTGCAACGTGTGACTCTTTTTCTGCATGGATGTCTATCATGGTGAAGTTCTGCGATTACGTCATAGCTGGTGCAGATTGGTGGCAGGAAATGGCATTGTGCGTAAAACACATATCTCTCGCATGTCCCCATCAAAACATGTGCGGCTCGGAGTAACAGAAATTTCAAAGTTCCGGGAAGTTCCCGGTCCCGGACCGCCCAGAAAAACAAGATATGAGTGTACAGTTGTTTTCATGGATCTGATCATCAACTCACCACCCTAGAAAAACGCAACGAGTGTGGATTGATGTCGATTCTACTCTGTGCAGACTTCAGTTTTCCATTATATCAATATAACATATTTGCCAGAGTATAGAGTGCACTTTGGAGGAATTACTCCTGGCCCCAAATCGCTGGTGCGCACTATGCTCCAAATATGAAAATTTTAGAAAAATGAACATGATTGTACTTCTAAAAGTTGTGTAATGCATCAAACTGTTACGAAGTGTGCCACCTCTGACCCTGCATAAGCCACCCGAATGCACTTTTTATGACAATGGTCGCACTATCGTACTGTCTTTATGATTAATAATGCTTTCAAATCTAAGCTGCGCATTACACTCCGGATATACCTTGAATTGCCAGAACATTACTTAAAATGGGGGTGTGCGTTATACTCCGGCAAATACGGTAAGTAAATACACACTGCGACTCCTGTCACTTATAATTATATCTCTTACCAGAGAGTTGGGCTGCGGAGGCGTAGCTGAATCTCCTGTTGCCTTCTTGGCAATCGACTCGCGTCCAGTCGTAGATGGAGCAATGAGCTTGGCAGATAAGCTTTCTGCTGGGGGCGCTGACCGCTGTACATGCTGCACTGCATGTCCGCCCGGGTCTTTGCCAACACCTATTGCTGGGTTAATGGCCAAGCTAGCTGCCCTGTCACTAGCGATGGCCACTTGGCGCGGTTTGGGCTTTGGGACGTGATCCGAGGGCAGTCGGACTGCCTCGTACCTATCCGATTCAAAACCAGATGCTAGTGTAGAGACACTAGCAGACCTGAAAGGAGCAGCTTGTCTAGGTTTCGGAGAGGGCTTGGGATCAGCTGGGGCAGATGTCCCCGCCTGAGTGCCCATTGATTGGTTACCGCCAGCCGCTAGTCGTGCGAGGTCACAGAGCGGTGGTCGTGGAGGAGACACAGGATCAGAAGTCACTACCGGCTGCACTCTGTGACCTGTGGTGGGATCCTTAGTTTCCACTGTTCTTGCTGTGTTGTGGGGAGTGGCGGGCTTTGGGCGAGTAGGAGGCTGGGGGACTCGACTAGGTTTTGAAGGTAGAGTTCCAGCCAGTTTCTGTTCCTGGCCGGCTGAATTGAAGGCCGCTATCATTGCAGAGATGCCGGTGGGCTTGGAGGGAGATGCGTGAGTCGCCTGGGGTTTTAGAGCAGGCTTTGTCGGTTTGGGTGCTGTGGCTGGCGGAGATCGAGTTGCTTGGCTGGTTGATGGTGGTGGGTTCCCGTTGAACCGAGCCGGTTGACTTCGAGTTACTCTATTTGCTGCATCTTCATTGCCTGTGTTAGAGAGGACACAGAGAACAGTAAATAGCCAAATCATTTCACAGCCTCACAAAATGCCTCATTGCATGCACACAACCATACACACACACACACACACACACACCATGTACCATGTATACGCCCGTCGCAAGAGAAGCACGCAAATCTGCAAATGCACTGGATGTGCACCCACAGATTTTCTCTTTATAGCAACGATAGCGGATCTGATTCTGATTGAAACAGATCAAGACAAGCGCCAGATAACTGTCTAATCCACACAACTGGCGAAGCCATGTGAATCGACCCCCCAATGAACACCTGGTCTACACCACACGGAGTACATCGGAATAGGACGGCCAAGACAGTTACCTATGCACACCCTACACTTGCTGGGGTAACCAGTATAGACAGCACGCTGCTTTGATAAAAGCAGACACTAGATGCACTGGTACCTTGAAGTGAAATTGGAGTTATTCTACCAACCAGCATCGGCAACTGGGTACTGGGAACCCAGGGCCAACAGACATACCAACAACCTCAGCCATGAAAGCTATATAGTAACGACACACTGGATTGTGAGCCGAAACTAGTCCAACTTCCAAAAATGCTTTGGCAATAGGGTAGCCTTCCAACCGGTTGGACAGACACACACACACACACACACACACACACACACACACACACACACACACACACACACACACACACACACACACACACACACACACACCGTGACAAGCACCTTTGCAAAACTTCAACGCAGGTTGGTGCCATCAATATGCACTGTATAGATATGTAGCAAAGCAACTCAAGGACATGCAGTATTGTCTGTACATGTACAGGCAGGTGTGTAGCTCCTCTATAGCCAGCATAGTCCGGTCAGTACACCAGAAAATGGTCGTCATAGCTACTACATAGTCTTAACAGGCAAAATGGCGGCTATGAGGTTGTCGGTGGTACATGGTCACTACACCACAGATGGTTGAGCTACACCCCCTATGTACAATTCTGTGAGTATCTCTCAGTTACCTGACTGATAACATTTCTACTTACCTCCAACAAAGGTATCCACTGACTTCATGTCATCTAGGAACTTTGAAAAGTTTGCTTCAGGTTCGGTGCTACGCACAATACTACAGAAGGTGTGGAAAGTCTCAGCTGTACCCCTGCTCAGCATATCTAGCAGTCGGTCATTGTGTTTGGCCCAATCTTTTATCGCCATCAATTCCTTCTTCTGCGCATCGGAGATCAACCGCTTGGCACAGCATTCAACACGAATTGCATCGCAGCTGAGCGCTGCTTGGAGGCGTGGGATCCACTTGCGGAACATCTGGCTTGACCATGGCCATGTGTTGACCGAGTGGTTCTGCAATAACAACACACAGAGTGCATACAGTCGACCTTGGCGGATAATGCTCGAAAAAATTGGCAGATTCTGCTTGAAAAGCAGTGAAATTGGCAGAACCATATAAAACTTATGGCAGGCACTTCACCTTGCCTTGAATTCTGCTCCATTTCTTTATCCACATACCAAACATGCATGAAAGCGTCCCGATAAAGTACCAAATTCTGAACACAAAAAATCTGCCAGCAGTATCTGCCAATGGCTAGCATACCATGAGCTGAGAATCACAGAAGCTGCCAGTAAGGTACGACCAGGGAGTCGTAAAATACCGGTATTTTACAACTCCCTGGCTACGACCAGTACTTAGCAGCATACATGGTGCCATGCAAGTTCTGTTTTTTTTGTTTTTGTTTTTAGCACTGCCAGAGATCTGTGCTATGTTGATCAAGTGTTCATCGGGGAACGAGACAGCCCTAGCTAACTGCAGATATATTCGTATGGGCTTATTGCTTCCGTTTGGCCACTGCCATTTCAGGGGCCTGGTTGGCTGAGGTAGGCCACATTGAAGCGTTACTGTTCGCTGAAGATAATCAATAATACCAGACGGCCCTTTACACATATTGGCACAAGTTTTAACCATCCAATGATAGCATGGAGCGGGTACATGTGTGTGTGTGTGTGTGTGTGTGTGTGTGTGTGTGTGTGTGTGTGTGTGTGTGTGTGTGTGTGTGTGTGTGCGTGAGTGCCAGCTAGTTCGGTTGGTGGGTACACTTATGCCTGATTGTGTTGGGTCTGTTGCCAACAGGCTCGGCTGCATGATGGTGTATTGTTGTATCTGCCACCTTTGTTGGTTTCAGGGTTCGTATACTTTCTATTTGAAGTATACATACCTGTTAACCATGGACTGCTTCTGGCTAGATTAACTCTTGTGTAATCAATAGTGCTAGTGACGCATATCAGATCCACTCTGAATTAGCCACCCACACTAGTAGCAAGTATTACCTTCACTGGGGGCAGGGGTAACTGCAGTTGGATCCCGGGACGGATACCCTGATGCCGTCAATCCTTTTTCTGCACCTTGTCCTCACCCACTTACTGAGGTGTGGTGAGCCCATAAGTGGGATCATTTTCAAGTCCACCCAGAGTTTTGGGGATTTCAGGGGGTGTCGGCCGTTGGGCGGTTCAGGAGCCAATTGAGTCATCTTTCCAAGATTCCTTTTGAGTCTCTCTCCTCACTCCCGGGAGACCCACGAGACCAGTTTTGGCAGTGAGCAACAAGTACAAGTACAAGTAAGTGCGTGTGCGTGTATGTGTGTGCGTGTTTGTGTGTGTGGGTGTGTGCATGCGTGTGCGTGTGTGTGTATGTGTGTGCATGTTTGTGTGTGTGGGTGTGTGCATGCGTGTGTGTGTGTGTGTGTGTATGTGTGTGTGTGTATGTGTGTGTATGTGTGTGTATGTGTGTGTATGTGTGTGTGTGTGTGTGTGTGTGTGTATGTGTGTGTGTGTGTATGTGTGTGTATGTGTGTGTATGTGTGTGTATGTGTGTGTGTGTGTGTGTGTGTGTATGTGTGTGTGTGTATGTGTGTGTATGTATAATTATTATTATGTGTGTGTATGCACATGCATGTGTATGTATGTTTGTGTGTGTGTGTATGTGTGTGTGTGTGTATGTTTGTGTGTGTGTGTATGTGTGTATGTATTCATGTTTGTGTGTGTGTGTATGTGTGTGTGCACGTGCGTGTGATTGCGAGTGTTCGTGCGCATGCAAACATGTGTGTATGTATGTGCACACTGTAAGATGTTTTTGAGACAAAATTTTCAGAATTTGGCAAAGCAATGACATGTGGACAATTCATACCTCTGCTGTAGCCATGACTGCGACAAGAACAAAAGTCACGGACGTCAGTCACCATCTGTTGTACATGTACACATAACAAACCACACCAAAATAGACACGGCACATCATGAGTGATGTTGAAATGGATAACATTCTTCAGAATGTTTTCAGCGGGTGCAGATTCAAAAAATAAATCACGGTTCGCGTGAGACTCGGCCAAAGGCCCGGTTTTCCGTATCCGCAGGAACGCCACTACCCTCTTGGATCAAGGCGCAGATGCAGTTCCTAAGTGGTGGGACGTGAGTAGATCAGACTTCCAAGCAGGACTTGAACCTGGTACCCTCTGTTTCTCAATCATGGTCTCAGACCATCCCACTATCCCTGCCTGCAGATTCCAAAGAAACCCTAAAATTTTAAAAGCGTTTCACACTTTTGTTTCAGTGGAGGCAAGGTTCCAAGAGCGTGCACTGAGCATTGACAGGAGTGCATCACCCCCAAGGAGTAGGCCGCTCCCGCATACAGTTTTGTCCCAACAGAATTTCAAGTTGACAGCATTGTTTTGATGCAATGCTCCTCTGGCCAGAATGATTTACAGCGTTTGTACAGCTTATCAACCCATCACACATTTTTCCTTGCGCTATTTTGCACTAGCTAAAGTCCAGGATATGTCTGATAATCGGCGCAGATTGCATCATAATATGACGTCAACTTGAGGAAGTTGGCTGCTCTCAACGTCGAGAACGCGCGTCCAGAGTACGAGAAGCATGCCGAGCCCTCCGCTCAGCAAATTTACAAGGGAGCACCACTCCCTTTTCATTGCAACGTGTATCGGGGAGTCCAAACCAGGAGCTGAAAGAAGCACCAAGGCTTAAGCCCTCTGGCCCTCCCGGATGGGTTATTCGACCATGCACGGTGAAATAGAAATGCGGAGCTGCTTTTGATTCGTGGGTCGCATTTCTTTGGCCGCGACTGTACTGGTACATATACTTCGAAGTTACAGTCCATATATTCCACGCACGCCATGTATAGAGATACTCTGACCAGTAGTCAACGTTCCTCTGTAGACGGAGTTCTGGTCAGACTTTTAATATCATGTACATGTACCGTCGTGGACATGGAAATCCGGTCGCACGTCTAGTGGCCCCAGGGCCCTGGCCATGCAGCCGTGGATAAGCGGAACGTGCATTACTAGTATGTGATGCAGCCCAGCGTGCTGGTCGCATCGTACGTGCTGAGGGTGCCGGCCCCGGTCAATCGACTGGATTTCCATGTCCGCTACAGTACATGCACTATCACACAGTGACAAGGTTTCACATGGTACATCTACAGCTTGTATGGTGTTTTGAGTTTCCGACGCCCTTCCGTGCAAACGACCGTGATTACGTGCCCGAATAAAAGACCAGTGGGTTATGGTGTTTTGAGTTTCCGACGCCCTTCCGTGCAAACGACCGTGATTACGTGCCCGAATAAAAGACCAGTGGGTGTAACCATGCTTTACTTATTTATTATTTCGACCAGTCGGCTACCATACTTCTTTGTTCCTCTTGGAGGCTAGACAAGGGGAAGTTGCCATGTTAGGGGAGTGAGCCGGACTCTCGGCATCGGGACTGGAGTTACAGCTGGCTCGACTCGACTGTACTGAGTGAAGAGAACCCACACCTATTCACCTATCCACCTATCCACCTATCCACCTATCCACCTATCCACCTATTCACCTATTCACCTATTCACCTATTCACCTATTCACCTATTCACCTATTCACCTATTCACCGTACTTTACTCGCACTCGCAGTACACAAGCGAAATAGTCATTGAGTTGTTGAGACACTCACGGTAGCATGAGCCATGCATACCCGTTACCGGTGCACTGCGGCCAGTTCAGGAAACGAGAACGAACAACAATACCCAAGAACCGAACAACACTGGCCAACCACTTACCCAGAATCACTAGAACACCATGACAAACGGGGACGATGAACGTCCAGCGACGAGCGCTCCTGCAGGCTGCAGCCAGGAGTCACGGTTTGCTTGAATCCTGGACACGACGCCTTTGAACGTCGTGGGCGGATAGGCTGTACCGGTTCTCTACGTCGTGATGGTATAGAGCAGTCAAATGGAGCCTCCAAGCCACTAGGAAACTTCAATGAAACCCTTTGGCCAACACACAGATTCTTACACAGCCTGCACCCAAACAAACTTTGACACGAAGCAGCAGACGGCTAAACTAACTGTAACACCACCTCGCTGCCTACAACAACTCGTCTACAAGCTGCCTGTAACATGAAAAACTGAAGAAACTACATCTACTGATCTAGCGCTAGCGCTGCAGTGAAAATATTTCACCACGAAGCTCCAGTGCGGAAATGGTGCCCGTTTCGCCGAGATGAGCCACTAATTACTATAATTACAGTGAAACCTCGTTAAGAAGAACACTGATAAGACAAACGTTTGCCTAAGAAGAACTAGTATTCGTAACTGTATTGGATAAACCCTGTGTATTCACTGGGTTAACATATGGATAAGAAGAACTCCCGTTATTCCGAACAAAATATCATCGGTCCCTTGATGTTCGTCCTAAAGAGGTTCGACTGTATTATAATATTTATACCGCGTAGATCTACCGCAGCATGCAGCAGCAACGGCAGTGCGTGACGACTCCGTGAGGCCTGAGGGTGGCCGGCCCTGGCCGGTACGGGTGGGTAGATCTACGATACGGGTCCGTGTCACGTTTTGTGGATGACATGCCTGTTAGTGTTATGTATGCTAAAGAGTATAGTGTATAACAACGGTAATACAACCTCTGCCCGCAGAACGGTATATCCAGACAGTCATTGTTAGGCTAACTAAGGGTTGGGGGCCAGTTGTGTTTATTAGTTTGACTTTGACTGAACACATGTTCAATGACAAGGAAGCGAATGAGGTCCAAGTAACCCATGGGAAAACTTGGAAAGGTGACACAGATGAAAAGAAAATTATTGGAAAAATTATGTCATTGGTGTAGTGCGCCGAGCCGCCGACGCGGCATGGCCCTGGCGGCTGCTACAGCACCGAAACGACGAGCGGCGACCGTGACGGCACCACGGTCCAAGAGCATGAAACGAGGAATAGTCTGGAACGAGGAAGTCGAAGACGGTAAGAGACCTCGGCTTGCACAACTCATTCCTCCCCGCCCCCATTGAAATAAAACACTTGCAGGGGCGTGCTCGGCCCCCCAACTAGGGGGGTGCACGGGAGCCGAGGGGAGCCCCCCCCCCGGCAATTTTCTGCAATTTGTTTGCAACCTTTCTTGAATTTTAGAGCATATTTGCATACATTACAATTGCAATTACCCAGATTGAAAATTTTTGGGGGGTGCACGTGCCCCCCGTGCCCATCGCCGAGCACGCGCCTGACTTGCATGCGATTGAGGAGGATACAGTTCTTGCATGACAGGAAAGGAGATTGAAGAAGGTCACGAAGACGACATGTATCTACGGTTAACGCGTTGGGTGCTGCACCCAGTACCAGTGGCGGCAGTGCCCGCAGTGTCAGGGCGCGGTCCTGGGACACAGTTGCTCAGCTGCACCCAAGGTTTCCTACTTACTGTCCATTCAGAAAAAGATGATATCCTAGCTTTTGGCCATGAATGGGTCATAACGAGAATAGGATGTCAGCCCGGTTTTGCCCCCAAAGCACTGAATTGGGGAAATAAACATGAAAATCCAGGCTGTTCTCTGCACTTGCATAACAGTACATTCGCCGTTCGAACCACAGTTGAGGCACCTTTTTGGACCCTTTTTCAAGTTTCGAATCTCGCAGCACTGCACAGTGTACCACAAAATCACGAAAAATCACCAAACACGGGAGCTCTCCAGAGCCAGCGCTCGTCTTTTTCTGAATGGACTGTGGGCCGTGCAGTACATCTAACATGGAGAGAGTGGGCAAGACTAAAACATAATGGGGTTGGGGAACAATGCATGTGCTGGTGCCATGCTGCAGGGAAACTCCAGCACATCCGCAAAGGAACTGGAATTATACTTCAATACCGGGAAGAATGCCGGGACCTGCTCTACTTCATCGTCATCTCTCACAGCAGATTATGTTGGAAATTCTCCCAGTACACTAGCATCCATCTTCATGAGAAATGAGAAACTAGAAACAAAACAAAAAACTTTGAGGGTAAGTCGTACTGTATCAATTTTATTTACCGTATTTTCCCGAATATAAGTCGACTTCGAATCTAAGTCGACCACCCCAAAATCCAGGAGTCAATTTCATGAAAAAAAGTTTTTATAGCTCTATGACACCCACACATAAAACATGATGAATTCTCTGCGAGGAGAGATCATCATGCCAGTAAGACAAAATCTGAACAATCTGAACAAAACCAGTGTCATTCAATGTTCACATGGTTTGTATGGTAGTGCATTTTTGTACGGACACTCCAGTCACTTCATTTGTTGTGCCAGATTCCCGTATGTAAGTCGAGTTCCGTTTGTAAGTCGACCCCCAGCTTTTGACGAAATTTCTGGCGCACAGAAGGTCGACTTATATTCGGGAAAATACGGTATTGCAACATCTCAAGACGCAGTGGACACTCCGGTCAAATTGAAGAGAGTGGGTGATAGCCAGCCACGGCGATAAAGATTAGTATGGGTTAGGAGGGGAAACGAAAGATCTACGAATCGGTATTTCGGCCCTGAAACGCCCTTTGGCACAATTAGATCTCATCAGGATCACTCAGCGCATTCAGGAACCCATTCAAGAATAGGCCGAAGAGTCGATTCGAGAATAGACCGAACAGGACTTGAACCTGGTACCCTCCGTTTATCTACTATGATTTTAGACCACCCCACTATGCCTGTCTACCCATAGAATTATCTGCCATGTACACGCTGTTTTGTGACCTGTCCATTTTCCCTGTAGCATACCGGTTTCAGCTGGCTGGCTTTCGCGATGCCACCGAGTATGAGCATTTTTACGGTGAAGATCTGGTAAGAGGTTTCGCTGATATGGTGCTTTGAACTTCACATATAGTCAACAACAGCAACAACAGCAACAACAACAACAACAACAACAACAACAACAACAACAACAACAACAACAACAACAACAACAACAACAACAACAACAACAACAACAACAACAACAACAACAACAACAACAACAACAACAACAACAACAACAACAACAACAACAACAACAACAACAACAACAACAACAACAACAACAACAACAACAACAACAACAACAACAACCAACAACAACAACAACAACAACAACAACAACACCAACAACAACAACAACAACAACAACAACAACAACAACAACGTCGTGCTAATAACTCGTGCTAATAACAACAACAACAACAACAACAACAACAACAACAACAACAACAACAACAACAACAACAACAACAACAACAACAACAACAACAACAACATCAACAACAACAACAACAACAACAACAACAACAACAACAACAACAACAACAACAACAACAACGTCGTGCTAATAACTCGTGCTAATAACAACAACAACAAAAACAACAACAATTGCCGATGGTGCCATCGTGAGAATGAAGAATTCACAACAATATCTCTTAATGGTCATTGGCCATCGCGAGAATAGAGATTTGAAAAACAACAACAACATACGTAAGAAAGTCCGTTGCTCCCCACAACCAAGCTCGTACTTTCCCGCCAACTTTACTTGACACTTGATCCCAAGTCCAAGTCAAGTCGGCGGAAAAGCGAGCGCTCCAGTGTAGGGAACAGCCAACTTTCCTATAAAAATCAAAACAATTAAATTATCATGGAAGTGGCCACCACATCGTATTCACATAAAGTATTTTGTGGAGTATAAACCTCACCCGGATTTTTTGTTACGATGTACACACATCTACCATGGTGATCACTATCAATTTGAACTGATTATATCCACAAAGAACGATATAGGGCTTGAACGTGCTACTTTGAACTACATGGCAACCAGGCTGTTGTCATGAGAACACTGACTTATGGATCCAATCAGTCGGATCTAGTTTTGGCTCATGGCCCGGACAACAGTCACACTTGCATGCAAAGGGGGTCTACAGTATTTTCAGAAGTATACGCCGCACTTGCGGTATGAGCTGCATCTAGATTGTTGTCACGAAATACTGACCTCTATCCTGCTCATGACGGTGAATTTGACCATCGTGGCATAAGCCACACCGACTGGTTGTGGTTACAAGTACATTACTGGTGTTAAATAAATACCCTACCTACCAATATACTGTACATAACATTGTACTTCGTTATGGTCTCGCAGTGGATCTGACTTTGAACCAGAAGTCGTTATTTGCTGACTCCAGCCTGATAATAATTATCACTTTCGAGCCATATTTGACATGGCAGATGGCATGTTGATCTTTTGAAATCTTTTGTAAGCTGAACGAATTTATGCCTTGTAGCTAATGATACTTTTTCTCATGGAGTGCTGACCACCAATTTGTGGAGATTGTGAACTGGAAGGTTGATGGCATCTAATTGTAATGTTTTGTACTGTTACACTGTTTGAATGCACCGTGCAGTCGAACATACACTAGTCCCTATGGCACCATTATTAAAAGTTGTTTTCCTCCATGTCGTCTCTCTACCTCCTCTCTCTCTCTCTCTCTCTCTCTCTCTCTCTCTCTCTCTCTCTCTCTCTCTCTCTCTCTCTCTCTCTCTCTCTCTCTCTCTCTCTCTCTCTCTCTCTCTCTCTCTTCTATCTCTCTCTCTCTCTCTCTCTCTCTCTCTCTCTCTCTCTCTCTCTCGCTCTGCATGTTCCTCTTAGCCGGATCGCTGGCCCAACGGCTTGGTGAAAGTCCTGAAGCTGAAGAGCGGCTACTTCTACTGCTATAACCGCAATCGTGAGTGTGCCCACAAGGACATCCACTGCACCAAGATCTACAGCTACTAGGTGCACGATGTACACATGAGCTGCTTGTGATCAGCCATGCATGACTTCTGCACCTTGTCAACTGTGACCATGAAGGTGACAGGTGAGAATAGTCTTCCGCTCGCGCGCTCCAGCACTCTGCTGGTCCCGTTAAAAAAAGTTCACTTCAAACCTTTTTCAGTACGTCGAGCCTGGCCGTCTCAATTGCAAGCTCCCTCGATGTACATCAAGCCTGGCCGTCTCAATTGCAAGCCCCCTCAGTGTATGCAGGTCGACTGGAGTAGGGATTATGAAACATGTGAAGGGCAGAACTGATGCCAGACTGACGTGTGCTCAGATAGAGAGGCGTCACCTCACATGAATATCCTCATCAGTTACTCCATGTTGGATTGTATACGCTGGTAGCGTCATGCTATTCTCGAGTACAGTGCTTTTCTTGTAGCTCTACTGTAGCCAGCATGTGTATGATATTCTCGCACCTACTTTAGCTAGCACGTACTCGAAGTATGTGATAATCTCGCATGCAGTTACTTGCTTATAAATCTAGGTCTAATGCAGCTAGCACTTTCAGTGTATAACGCTCAGCATATAGCAACGGACATCGACTTTTATATTCTTGCACTAACCCCCACCACCACCAGGGGGACTGCCAATACATCATTATAGCTGCTGCGGTTGTTTCCTTCCATCTCTTCACTTGCGAGTGCTTCGTTGTGAAGGCACTGCTTGTTGATCAAGTCTTGAGACTTTCTACTTTGTATAATGTGCTGTGTGTAATGCGCGGGTTTGATAAATCTTCCCCATCCACGTCTTTGGCTTTTCATCTATTGTGGTGACAGTACTCATCTGTTTCCCTTGATAACGCCGCACCTTTTTTTCTTTTTGTCACATGCACGCAAATCCTTTCTGTATGCACTTGTCAGATCTCTCTCTCTCTCTCTCTCTCTCTCTCTCTCTCTCTCTCTCTCTCTCTCTCTCTCTCTCTCTCTCTCTCTCTCTCTCTCTCCCTCCCTCCCTCCCTCTCTCTCTCTCTCTCTCTCTCTCTCTCTCTCTCTCTCTCTCTCTCTCTCTCTCTCTCTCGCTCGCTCTCACGCACGCACTCTCTCTCTCGCGCACGCGCGCTCGCGCACGCACTCTCTCTCGCTCTCGTGCACTCTCTCTATCTCGACCGACCGACCAACGTAACATAATTCTCAAAGTGATCCTACTCCTGGCTGGACCAGTGTAACGTTACCATTATGCGTACATGTACGGTACACATCTGCACGCACACACAGAGCCAATTAGTCAGTTCTTCAATTTCTAGGAAGGAAGTAATGTGGCTGCTGACCAATTCAACCTCTGGGGTTTTGTCAATCACTGACAAAAAAAGACTATTATGTACACAGTTATAATGAGTATGTATGTGTAGAGAGCTGTTGAGTTTTAGAACTAATATTCTATGTATATAATACATCATATCCAATCCATGGACAGCATTCTATATACATAATATCTATATAATCATAATATGCCTCCAACCCAATGTATAATATGTACATAGACAATAAGCATTTCAGGACAGTGCCTATGTAGAATGATGGCCTGAAAGAACTGGACACCAAACACATCATGCATATGGGTCCCCAGCAGAACAGGGTATGCATGTGCAAACAAAAAAAGCAGGATCACAAAAACACACACAGTGTGCACCAGTTGTCTATCACATGACCTAGCCGCAGCAGAATATCTACGTTGTACACCGCCTTGGCATACATGCATGTAGAAGCCGATCGATCACTGGCGTTTACAAATGGTCGGGTAGCTGAAGAGTAGACACTAAGTGATCAAAATCGAGTGCAATAAGTGTATCGCCATCCACCATCAACTGCCATGTAATGGATGTACTGGATGACAAGACAGAACGCCGGCCTATACACGTACTACAATCAACACACATCACACCACCGACCCATCTATCATCATCATCTCTATAGTGCACGGGTAACATTATAGTGTTACCCACAGCAGCAACTACATCACAATGTAATAGATCAAGAGTCTTAGGCACGTCCACTTTGATCTCGAGCCATGATGGCATTCGCAGACTTTCCTCACTTACATCCAACTTCATGATTGACAAATGCGCACCATTGCGGTCGCTCCTTGATATCACAAACAGAGTACTGTCAGTGCTGCGGATGCTGGCCGGCGGCTCCGGCATGCTGAGCGGGTCCAATTTTGCCCATACTGCACCATCATGTCTGGTATCTAATGAAATAACTTCTAAGAAATGATTGCACCATAAGCATACTATTAGAAGCGCTGACTGGGTTATAAATACATCCGCAAAAGGCTTGAAAGATGTATTCATACTCGTATCTTGTACTGGGATACAATCACATTGTATTTCTCTAGCACCACAGTTTCCCTGTAGATCTACAACATGGATCTTAGGGATATACCTATCACTGATACTTGTACTTGCAAAGTACATTTTTTCATTGTGAATGCAAAAATTCCTGCATGACCGAAAGTGTGGGTTGTCAATGGCGATTACTCTTGTCCATGCCACCTGAAGACTTTCCTTGAGAGAATGAGTAGACCGGTAGATCATTGGTCCTTCCTCCTCTTCCTGGCACACAATGTAAGCATGCCCATTGTACATGGTACAACGATGAAAACCGTTCCAGCTACCAGGTAGACGGCCACGAAAAGACCACTGCAGAATATCAAAATCGGAAAGGAATAAAGGGTTTAAAAAAAGTGGACGGAGCACATTTTCCAGCACAGCTCTGATCAAGATATGGCAGGCGTTTTCAGACAGGGTATGCTACTTGCGAACTACACCACTCCTCACTGCAAGTTGCAACTATACCTAATAGTGAAGAATATTGTGCATTGTGTCTTTTGCCCAAAGAGAAATAGAGAGTGGAGCAGACGAATGCTAGTTAGGAGGAGGAGGAGGTGGGGGGGGGTTTGGTTGATTGGTCTTTATCATTTTTGTCTCAACAGTACATTGGGTGCACAGGGATGGGCATTATCCATTTCAGTGACAGGCCAGATGCACGCGGTTGGCCGTGCCATTTTCATGAAAAATCTGATTTTTTCAAATTAGTCGTATCAACTCAAACCGACTTGTTGTCCTCCGCTGGCGTAGCTTGTGCTGCTGTGCCCTGTTCAAGCTCGACATCGACATCTCCGATATCCTCAGGGCCGTCCAAGGCGGCCACAGCAGTAGGTACGGCATCGACCAAGGCAGACTCGTCCGCAAAATTTGTTCCGTCACGATTGCGGACGGTTATGTCCGCATCCGAGTCATCTCCTTCACTATCGCAGCTCCAGTCATCACTGTCCCAGTCCATGATGGACTGGAGCACCTCTTCAGCCGACATGCTACGACTCGCCGTGTCTGAGTGACAGCTATAGAGACCTAAAGTACGTTCTGTCAATCTAATTGTTTCTGAATCGAAATATGTTTTTCGCGCTCGCGCTTTGAATGTATGCTCCCGCGTCCATACTTACTCAAACACGGCGAGTGAGGTCTTATTCAGTAGGGGAAAACCGCTAGTTTCCCCTCGAAGAGCCACAATCGGCCAAGCTAGATCATAGTGCATGGCCAGTGAGATATAGTAGTGCGCACTACGAGGACGAGATATCTCGTCTTTGGCCAATCGCGAGGGGGTCTGTAGGACGAGTAATCTCGTCCTTGGCACTGAATGGGTTAAATTTCTATTTCTCAGAGTTCAATGAAATACAACAGCGCACCATACTCCACGTCAAATGTTTCAAGGGGTACATGTCCCTTCCCCCCCCCCCCCCCCAACCCCACACCAAACAGGACCAGACCTAAATCTTTCCTTGCGGTACCCATGATGTTTGCATCTGGTCTCTTCTTACCTGGGACTTAAGTTGCGGCCGGAGAGACAGCTCATTGTCAGCTCCCTGGATTTCTACTGCGTGTTCAGAATTGGCAGAGACATGGGTTGAAATGGCCTCTTCAGGATCTGCAAGAAAGGAGACAAAATAAGAATTGAAAAAAAGAATGGCAGGAAAACAGATTCAAGCCTGAGGCATTTCTCTGCACTGTCCCGATGTCGCTACCACTATTCCGTACTGTGATGAAAACACCGCTTTTTTTAGGTACACAACATTCTGAACTCTCTTGCTCGAAAATGCTGTTTGTGACAGACCCAAGTGTTGGCGTTCCTGCCGAGTGACTTGACACTTGACTGACAAACGATAGCCGTTTTAAGCATACCAGGAGCACGTCGAACCTTCCACTCGGCAAACCTGCAAGAAAGTACCACTCCTTGCTCAACGTGCTGCTCGTGTGCTCCAGACAGCAGCAGCTGTTGGTCAGCCAAGTATCAGTTATTCGGCAGAAAGCAGCAGCTGCAACATTCCGAGGTGCCACTTTCTTGAAACTACAATGTAAATGAAAAACCAAGATAATTTGACGGTCCTGTGAAATTCCCACCGGAGCGACATGAGGGAGGCCAGAAAGAACAGCACGTGTATTAAGCCTAGCGAACACACACACATACACACACTCACACACACGCGCGCACGCACGCACGCAAGCACACACACACACACACACACACACACACACATTATGTACACATGTGCATTGTGATAGACCAACGTTTATCACAGCCATATTGGTGCACTTACGATCAACGTGAGCAGAGGTCGAAGTTGCCTTTCTTGCCGCTACACCTAAGAAGACCGCAAGAGGAAAGGCAAAGCATCAATTTACAACTGCAGGGTCACTTGTTCTCCTTACATCTTAGGTGGCATTCGTAGAAGCATTCTTGCAATGCTATGCGCGATACAACATGGTCTGCTACACCGCAGTGCGATGCATACTCACAAATTACCAATAACAGAAGTAGACGACGCATTGCTGACGTGCCTCAAAGCTCAAAGCAAATGCGTACGTTACTGTGGCATTTGTGTAGTCGGGTACCACTTGTACAAATCTGCAAGCAACTCTTGAACATTTTGTACAACTTTGTTGCAAAGGTCAAAATCGTACATCGCATCGCATGTAGCATCGCGAAAGTTGAGCCAAGCAGTGGCAAGCTCAACTTCTGAGATGGGCCAGTTGCGACGGCTGAGTGAGCTGTGCGATCGGTGCGTTTGCGAATTTCCTGGTTTCGCGGCTGTCGCATCGCGCACCGCATCGTAAAATGCTCCTGTGAATCCCGCATCACAGCGAGTGACGTTGCTGGTGCTAAGGGCCGGGTTCCACTGCGGCTCCGCTGCTCCGCGGGTTTTGGCTGCATGCAGCGGAGCAGCGCTGTTACACTGACACTCGCCATTCGCGGTACCGCCGTCGTGCTCCACGTTTTTTGATGACGTCTCACCTGCCTGCGAGCGCGAAATCAAAAAATCCGCGTGTTCTGGCATGCGCAACGAACTAAAATTTGGATTTTAAAATTTTCCCGTACAAAACAATGCAAAGTACAGGAAACAGGTCGAGCCCCGACCGCGGCTCGCAGTTTTTGATCAAGAATCGTAGCGAAAGATCGCAATGAGCCGCGGCCTCGCTGCTCTAGCTTGAGCCGCGGTCACTATGGTAATGATGACGTTTCGAACCGCGGATGACGAGCAGCGGAGCCGCAGTAGGACCCGGCCCTTAGATGCAAGAGATTAATATGCATTGTGCATTTTGATGGACCAAGGCTTCATCACAGCCATATTGTTGTACGTACGGTGAACGTGAGCAGGGATAGAAGTTGTCTTTCTTGCCGACACACCTATGAAAGACCGCAACAGGAAAGGCAAAGCATAATTTTACGACTGCAGGGTCACTTGTTTTCCTTACATCTTAGGTGGCATTCGCAGAAGCGTTCTTGCAATGCTATGGCCCATACCATTGCATTTTGTTTTGTGAGTATGCATCGCACTGCGGTGTCGCATATTGGGTTGTATTGCCCATAGCCTATGCGCAAAACAACGCGATCTGCGACACCGCAGTACGATGCATACACGCAAATTACCATACACAGAAGTAGACGACGCCTTGCTGACATGCCTCAAAGCTCAATGCAAATGCGTACGTCATTGTGGCATTTGTGTAGTCGGGTACAACTTGCACAAATCTGCAAGCAACTCTTGAACCTTTCGTACAACTTTCTTGCAAAGGTCAAAATCGTACATCACATCGCATGTCACATGGCAGAAGTTGAGCCAAGCAGTGGCAAGCTCTACTTCTGCGATGGGCCAGTTGTGACGGCTGATTGAGCTGTGCGATCGGTGCGTTTTGGGAATTTCCTAATTTCGCGGATGTCGCACTGTGCATTGCATCGTAAAAATGCTTCTGTGAATCCCACATAACAGCGAGTAACGTTGCTGGTGCTGAGATGCGAGAGATTCATATGTCCCCCTCCTCCCCCCCCCCCCCTCCCCACGCACACACATCACCTTTATAGGGGAATACCCTCCACAGACTTGCTGAAAATTCTACTTCCAGCACAATGGCCTCGGGAGGTTCAGCACAAAGGGAGGCTTTTCTGAAGGACCACAAGTTCATCAATACATGCACCAAACCGTCCTCCGATTATTCCCATGCGGCAAAACGCACTATTTCTCTTCATTGTGGTCCCAGTGACATTGCCAAAATGATACGGCGTTTGTGCTTTTATAACACGATGTAAATATTATCGCTGATGCACACCGGTTCTCAACATAAACAGCAGGACCCAATGGACACAGTACACGCAACACAACCATAAAACAATGGAATTGAAACTCACCACCAAGAATCTCAGGCAGTGCATTCAAGCATGCTTCGCCTTCATCGAAGACGAGCTTGGTCAGTGCAATCACTGCACGCTCAACATCCGGTTGGTCAGCCACAGCGACAGACAGCTCATCCTGGTCCAAGGACGGAAATCTCCCGGAGAACTCTTCAACCAAGCGCTTCTGGTCGTCAGGATTAATACCTGGACAAGAAAGCAAAGAGATTCGGACCTTTTGCTCCAGAGGTAAATTGAAGCATATCAAGGAAGCTGTTTGGTTGTGAAAACTACTTCGTTCTGTCAAAAGAGTCTCCTAGAAAACTTGTGTGCAGACAAACATCATGGACCGAAACATGCCTGCACCAACCACTTTCCCAGACGACAGCCAGTCGTCTGTTGACTAGTGATGACCTCCCTATCATCATGGAACTAAGGCTTAGGAATTAACTGACTACCCTATCATCATGGGACTAATGCTTTAATAGGAGTTGACTCGCTGTATATATGGGACTAACGCTTAGGAGTTGACTCGCTGCTATCGGTGCATTCCTAGTATTTTCCTACTGCACCAATCCGTCTTACCTTCGTCACTGCATGCCGTGGGACGCAAATTGAAGACTACTGCTGCGTCCACAGTTGACACTTCGAGAATGTGCAGACCAGCGAGCAGGCTAGATTGATCCTTACAGAACTCCCAGAGCCTTGCATGAGCCTTGGCAGACATCTGTACTAACACCGCCGTGTCTCCACTCTCCCCGTGTACACTGTCGGCGTGGATACTCTCATCACCAAGGAGATTACGGAGATTACTCACGACACTTTTAACGAAACTCGGGACCGTGTGATTATATTCACATTCGATGATGAACTTCACTATAGACGACCTCTGATCTGTTTCAGAATAATAACAGTGCATATGCATGCACAGTGACACATGCACGTTCACGCATGTACACACCCATCGAGTCAGAGACCGAATAAAGAAGAAAATGGGAAAGTTCGACTTAAAGGGGTGATTTCTTTTTCATGCAAGTACTTTGAAGTAAGCTTGGAGTGATAGCAATGGGTAACCCTGAAGAGTATTTAGGATGCGTGGATAACGAATGAAGGATTGGCGCATCCCCTCAGCACTGGTTTGTACTGTTAATATATGGAGGATACTATTCACTCCTACTCTAGCACTAAAATTAAAACTTCGTTAAGAACAAGATGAAGCTTTTGTACATGGACAATCGGTGTGCAGGACAGACAGGACACATACTGAATACTATCTGAAGTGTACGAAGAGTTGACAATACACATTAATTAATGTATGCTCCTATGTATTAGGTAACCTATGCCTGTTTGCTGTTCACATCTGATCATTTGGAAGCGTGTTTTTATTGACCACGTAAAATGATGATGCAAAGAAAGAAAAGGAGACCGGAAATATGATGCTGGGTGTGAGAGTGGGAGTGTGTGATCACTTGGTCACGTGGCCAAACAAAAATAAGCTTGCTTCGGGTTGGCAACCCCCCCCCCCCCCTCCCTCCCAAAAAAACAGACTCGCTCGGTCGGGGAAAAAACATTTTTAGGGCAAATTTTTGGTTGCTATGATCAATGATCCTGATGCTTAAATCATATGTGACGGGCAAAAGCATAAACATACAATCATGTACTGTCGCGGACATGGAAATCCAGTCGATTGACCGGGGCCGGGGCCCTCTGCACCTACAGAACGTAAGTCGTTGCATGCAGTGCACAATCATGTTGATCCGATGCGACCAGCAGCAGCGATATGTGCTACGGCTTCTTGGCCAGCGCCCTGGGGCCGCTAGACGTGCGACCGGATTATCCATGTCCACGACAGTACTTCAGTGATGCACATGTATAATAAATCACATGGTATAGATCAATGTCACAGTTCACTGACTGTACTCATACAGACTGTGTACTCCTTACAACCTGGAAGTCCACCTGTACTGGATGTCTAGTACTGGATGTCTAGTACTAGATGTCTAGCACTGGATGTCTAGTACTGGATGTCTAGTACTGGATGTCTAGTACTGGATGTCTAGTACTGGATGTCTAGTACTAGATGTCTAGCACTGGATGTCTAGCACTGGATGTCTAGCACTGGATGTCTAGCACTGGATGTCTAGTACTGGATGTCTAGTACTGGATGTCTAGTACTGGATGTCTAGTACTGGATGTCTAGTACTTGATGTCTAGTACTGGATGTCTAGTACTGGATGTCTAGTACTGGATGTCTAGTACTGGATGTCTAGTACTGGATG